GGGCCCCAAGGAGGTCAAACTAGCCGCCACGAGGACCAGGGCCTTTTCGGTGGCGGCTCCTACCTGGTGGAATGAGCTCCCGGAGATCAGGGCCCTGCGGGATCTGATGCAGTTCCGCAGGGCCTGCAAGACGGAGCTCTTCCGCCAGGCTTTCGAGTAGGAGCCGCCGCCCCTACTATACTACCACCGCCCTGAGGTCCCGATGAAACATCTATTATGGAACAATCCTTCTGCCGTCTCCTTGGGGACTTTGGACAGATGATCCGCCATCTTTGGAGTATGAATGGCACTGAGCACTTTGTTTATTTATGATTTAACTTAAGATTTTAATATGTAGTATATATTTTAAATTTTTATGTATATGATTGTTTTACCATGGCAAGTGTTCTTGCCTCTGTAAGCCGCCCTGAGCCCTCGGGGGAGGGCGGGGTATAAGTACGAAAAATAAAAAAATAATAAAAAATAAAATACTCTCTGCCCCAAAGGTCCTGCCCTGATTCCCAGTATTCGATTCGAAGCGACCACAGGGACAAGCGCTTGGAGGTTTAGCGATTTTCTCTGCCTCGTGTGATCCTAGGGGCCGTCTCAGGACCTGGTGGATCGATTCAAGGACTGATGAGTGAGTTTTTGTTGAAACGAGACAGCAAAGCCTAGATGTGAAGTCCCCCTACTATAAATGGAAGGGGGGAGGGGATGCCCTATCTCCCGACGTTTTAAATGAATGCGAAAGCATGATTGGAGGGACTGATCAAATTGCAGCGATGGACTGTAGCGGAGAGTTTTTTCTGAAAGAAAGTTGAGCATTTAAACAGACCGTAGAGACTTTGGCATTCTTTCTCGGCTAATGTAAACATGCCCAAAAGATGGTGATGAGAGGCAAAGAGGGAGGCGGGACCAATGTTTTCTTCAGGAAGGAGAACAGTGGAAAGCTAGGTCATGTGACCTAACCATAGACTCTGTCCTTAAAGTGAATCATGGGCCCTCTAGTGGCTAAAGTGGATCTGTACTAAAATCGGCTATATTTTTAAAGGGACAGTATTTGGTGCGCACTTTGATCATAGAGACTTATGAATGGTAAGGAGATTATAAAGTTTAGTTTACTTGCGGTTCGATTGGCAAGCGGATCGAAAAGCGTTTTTTTGGAGTAAAGGGCTTGCTAGCCCAACTTCACAAGATCTGCTTGCTAAGAGAAAGGTTGGATTTTCCAATGAGTGTGTTTTTAATGCAACAAAAGGAAGGACTCTTTTGATTTAAGACATTTAAGGAAGCGAAGATGTCCCTGGAAAAAGGAACTTGGTTTATATCATGAATGGACAGATCTGGCCTTATAAAAGCTAAAAATTAATTGGAAAAAGAAGATACATCTAAGACAGAAGAAGATAAATTGTTGTAATGTTCTTACTTAGGGAACATTGGTTTTAAAGATTTTGCCTATGAGGGGGCAAAGCGTAAAAGGAGATGCCAATTTTTCTTAAGGGCTGTGTTTATGTGTGTTCTAGCTTTAGAATTACTTTCTGTCTAGTCTGATAAGCTGGTTTTGTCAACAGAAATGATGATTGGCGGGCACTCTTCAGGCTTGAAAGTAACTGAATAAGTGTAATAACTATGTTTTAAGCATTGTAAAAACTCCACACTTGGGTTTTTAGTTAGGTTCTTTTTACTTTCTCCTTTAGATTGTAGAATTTTACCTTCCCAATTTCTGTTGTAGTTTTAAAGAAATGCAAATAAAAAAATTCCCCTTTGGGGGGCCAAAAAAGAAGAAGTCAATCCTAAAAGAAGTCAACCCTAACTGTTCCCTGGAAGGCCAGATACTGAAGCTGAAGCTCAAATATTTTGGCCACCAAATGAGAAGGGAGCACTTACTGGAGAAGACCCTGATGCTGGGAAAGACTGAAAGTAAAAGAAGAAGGGGACAATAAAGGATGAGATGGTTACAGTGTTATCGATGCAACGAACATGAGTTTGAGCAAACTCCAGAGGATGACGGAGGACAGGAGGGCCTGTCGTGATGTGGTCCATGGGATCGCGAAGAGTCGGACTCGACTGTGCAACTGAACAACAGCAACAGTAGATACATATTTTACAGCAGTTATAATTTCTCTCTTTTTTATTATTCAGGAGAAAATATCTCTTCAAAGATTGTGTTGGTCATCTCTAGTTTTCATATGTACTTGTATTAAAAATAACACCTCTAAGCACCTTTTTAATCAAAATGGTTTAATCAGTTAATATGGCTGATTAATCTTCTAAATGGAACAGCCCTACTTTCTGAAGACTGCCCACTTTTAGATACTTTAGATTTCTCTGAGTGGGACTCCAGCTGGCTGTTGCTGAGGAATCCAACCACTTCACCTTTTTGCATTGTGGATGTGAAGAAATGCAGTTTTTCACCTGGGAGGTTTGAGATGAGCAAAGCCTCCACTCTGCGTTTAATTCCCCGCCCCCCCCCCCCCGGCCGAGATCAGGCACTGGAGGAAGGATATCTGTGCAATTGCTCTCCAGACACCTTCATTCAGATGCTAATAGATCTAGCAGGAGAGATAATGGGTGGGTTAAGATCTCCCCCTTCCTCCTAGCAGGAAGCTCCCAGAAGAAGCTCCCAGAAGAAGCGGCAGGAAACACTTCTCTGACCTGATCAGCGGGTGGCGAAACAGGGATGATAAAAAGAATCCTTGCAACAGGAAAGAGGCCTTTTTTCCTTGGGTGCTGCTTCCATGAGCACACATAGACCTCTTCTACACAGGTAAGGCAGCCATCAACCATCTGCTTACCTGAAGAGCTGGAGCAAGCTTCAAGGTAATGGACCTCTGCAGGGATCTGTAACATCCTAAAGGGGCCTGTACTATTTTAACATCTGATAGGGCATGTATAGAGAAAGGGGCAGAAGATTTGTGTTTTACCTGTTTCTTTTGTATCCCTTGCTCAATTTGGTGCTGTGCTAGAAGTCTGCATGTAAACATTTTTAATGAATAATTTATAACTTTGTATGCTGGTAGTGGTTCTCTGTACCACATTGACCTCCACTGTCTTGGACACACTATTCTAAAAGGAGAGCCGGAGAAGGCAGGCAGGTGGCAAGTGGCTATTCCTCCAGGGGCACTCAAAGCAGTAATCTGTCCCCATGGTGAACAGACGCTGGGCAGCAGGAGACACAGAGGCAAAGCCTCAGAACATGGAAGGGAAGCAGGGAGTCCTGGCCCTTCATACACAGGTCAGGTGGTGGTAGCGGCGGGCTACCCTGAGAGCAGAAGGAAGGCATCTCCAGGTGTGGAGAAACACCTAGGAGGGCAGAGCAGAATAAGGCCTGCAAGCCAGAGCAGGCAAATTCTGCCACAGTGGACATAAAAATAATTGAAGTTAAATGTGCCAAGTGCCTACATTTTTGATCTACAATTGGTATATACTGTTTACTTATAGGATAAGAGCTTTAGAATTTATGAACTTTCAAATACTAGGCACATTTGTGTGTGTGTGAGAGAGAGAAGAGAATGGACACACACAAATGTGTCTAGATATTATAAAGCTCCTGTATTTTTTTCTACAATTACATTACATTACATTTGCGATTTATATACTGCCCTATCCAGAGGCTCAGAGCAGTTTACAGACACAATTTTATCTAAGCTAGGAGTACAATGGTAAGGGGAGGGTGTTTTTTTTCCTAACTAGGCACCTAACAGCAGGATCTTTCTTGGATTCGGCGGTAGTTCTTTTTCCTCAAAGGCGCAGATATCCAGTGTTGAAGTACGGATTCTCTGTAGTAGCGGCTCGTTTCCAGCAGATGGCCCCCACAGAATTGGTATATACCCTGTTCACTTATCACATAAGTTCCTTCCATGGAAGGCCCCATTCATAGCCCTGTGCTTGAATGAGGCTGCTAATTCTAGCAATGCTAGAGAGATGCATATGCACAAACATAAATTTGCCTAGTTTAGGGATATTCATTTACCATATTGAAACACTGTACACATTTAGAAGGGACAAGAAGGGGAGCTCCATGTGGAGGAGAAGGAAGCAGCCGCAGCTGAGCCTTTTAGATTTTTCTGCATTTCTGGGGATTGCCCCAAAGTGCAGGAAAATCTCTTTGCCCCCTAGGTGCCTCCGATGTGCAAATTTAGATATCCGCAGGCAGGGGGCACCTTGGCTATTAGATATATAAATGGACAAAGAGCTAAGCAGTCACTCCAGAAGCCTTAATGAGAAGGCTTCCATAGGGAAATAATACGCCAGATGTTCCCAAATCTAGAAGAGAAGAGATTGGATTTATACCCCGCCCTTCACTACCCAAAGGAGTCTCAGAACAGCTTATAATCCCTTTCCCTTCCCCTCCCCACAACAGAGGTGGGGCTGAGAGAGCTCTCTTGAGAACTGTCCTTGAGAGCTCTGAAAGAACTTATGATTGACCCAAGATTCACACCAGCAGCTGCATGTGGGGAAGCAAACCCAGTTCTCCCAGATTAGAATCTGTGCTCTTAACCACTACACCAAACTGACTCTAAACATTAATATACGACATTGTTCACAGATTTTATCAGTTTTGTTGATCAGAACTCATTGACAAATTCCACTGCTAGAAGGCACCTTAGAAATGAAGGCATCTTTGTGCTGACCCAAATATCCATGTTGCTGACGCAGGAAGGTCCCCAACTTTTTAATGTAAGCCAGCCTGTCATTTGCACTCTAACAGTGGATGCCATGGCTCCACTTGATTGCACTTTACTAGATATTCCCTATGGCTACTTGTCCCACAATGCAATGCATTCTACCACACTGTCCAATTCTGGCACATTGCAGCCTGGATGATGCATTGCTCAAAAAACTAACCCAAGAAAACATACATGTATGTATTAAAAAATAATGAAATTTGTATTTATTCAAGGAAGACACATGCAAAACTAATTCCTGGCAGACTCCTCACACACAGTTTCACATATGCATTGAAAAAATATATTTCTGAAATCAATTCCTATGCAGAATGAAACACAGAATTGAAGAGGAAATAACCAGAGTCCAATAAGAGGGGATCCTTGTTATCATCACTATTTCAGTACAACTCATCTTTTGTCAATTGTCCTCAAATGATGTTGTTCAGCAGCTAGAAATCGACAGTTCTGTCTATACATTTGTGTAGTATCGATGACGGTTCTGAAAATCTCTGTATGCGTATTTTGCATCCTGTTTACTATGAGGCACTCTGCCAAATGGTTCATGATCACTGAAACAGGCGTCAAAGACTTCATCCACAGCTTTCTCAGCCCTCTCTTTGTTGACCTTTCTAACCGCCAAGATAGAGCGAACAGCTCTGTCTCGTACACAGGTCTGGGGAAAGAGAGGGAAAAACAGGTTCAAATAACAAGCTATGAAATCTTGATGCATTTACATTAGTCAGTGCCAATAATTACAAACCACAGGAATGTTTCAAAAGGATAGTTAAAAGCCATGTTTGCTGTGATTGTTCAGAAGGATACTACTCAGGCAAAATTGACTAGTTTCAATTTTTCATAGGCAGTATAGACTTGGGAATGTACCAAGATGCTCAGCTTGACAGCCAATCAAATTGTTTATGGTGGATATTTATCAGGTATGAGTCACTCCCTGGAGAACAACTGCCTTGATTGATGCAACAGCTGGTGGGCACAATCTGAATCTGACTTTAACAAAAATGAACCAATACTAACATTTCATCATACCCGGCTGAGCTCCCATTAGCTGAAAACTCAGATATTGAATCACCCAAAGATATAAATTCAAAGAAAGCTGATCTGACGCAGCCAGTTGCTGATACGAAGCTAAGAAAAACATTAGCATTTATCTGAACACTGGATTAGAACCGCCCTGAAAAAAAGCAATTTTCCCACATGCCTAAGAAGCAGCTTTTCCGGGCAAGCCAACAAGCAGCAATATTATCTACCCTTCCAGCCATCACATCTGTGTTTCTCTAATCTAAAATGAGCTCCTTAAGTTGCTCCTAAACAACTTATATAGTTCTCCACTTATCCCTGCAAGGTGGGTTAGGCTGCGAGTGTGACTGGCCCAAGGTTACCCAGCAAGTTTCTGTGGCAGAAACAGGATCTGAACCTGGGCCTTCCAGATCCCAGTCCAGCACTCTAACCACTACACAGCATAGACTCTCCACACACCTTCCTTAGTACAGATCAACTGCCAGCTGCCTCGCCTGGACCCTTCTGTTGTTCTGAAACGGTTAAGAGAGACATTCTTGTATTCCAGCACTCATTTCAACTAGGAAATGTGCAGTAGGACAGTAGTCCTTACAGTGACATAGAAGATGGTCAAAAAATGGTGTGTGTGTGTGGGGGGGATAAACAACAAGGAAAGGTAATCCAGCCTCTGCTAAGAAGTTGTTTGCAAAAGCTAGCATGTCTGAGTATGTACCAAATTTATTTGATGTGTGTGAAGAAGTTGCATACTGCTATGCTCATATGTACACACAAGCATGTGCGCGCACACACACACACACACACAGAGTAGTTAAGATATTGCAGAAAAGAGAAGAGCACAAGGACTTCTAAGGTAAAAGCAAAAGACAAGACAGTATCACTGAAAGCAGCAATCTATCGGTTTTACTGGTACCCTTTGTCTCTCTGGAGCTGTGGTGGCTCAAGTGGTTAAGACGCTGAACTGCAGGCTGTGGAAGGTCAGTAGTTCAGCAGTTCAAGAGCCGAGTTGCTGCATGACGGAGTGAGCTCCCGTCTCTAGTTCCAGCTCCTGCCAAGCTAGCAGTTCGAAAGCAAGAAATTGCAAGTAGATAAATAGGTACCACTTCGGTGGGAAGGTACCAGCGTTCCGTGTGCCTTGGTGTTTAGTCATGCCGGCCACATGACCACGGAAACATCTTCGGACAGCGCTGGCTCTTCGGCTTTGAAACGGAGATGAGCGCCGCAACCCTAGAGTCGGACTCGACTGGCTTTCGAGCAAGGGAACCTTTACTTTTACCTTTACTTTTGTCTCTCTGCAGTTCCATCAGAGGATCTGAGCCTCAGAATCACAGGGACAGCCCAGCCCAGTGGAAGGCAACATGTAAATGCAGTTCCCCCTTTTCTTTCAGGGGTCAGGCTCAACTTACTTGATGGTGCTGCTTCAAGCCAAATTTAAACCGGGTCATTTCGCTCAAGAGTGAGCAGTCCCCACTGAGATTAGCTGCTCGAATCTAGTAGGGGGGGAAAACAGCAGTATGGGAAAAGGTTTTCAGAGAACTGACAACACAATTACCTATACCTGAAGTGTCCTCTGGACAAAAAACCACTAACTAATAGGCTGAACCAATGATCTTCCATTTTATTACGCTTTCCTTAATCTGCCTCATATCATAACTGCTTGAAGCTACAGAATATTGGGAGGGAACAAAGAGAAATCTATCTGCTGGATATTCAGGAACTGATTAGATCTGACTGGTTATTCACAAAGAAACTTTCAACAACATTCCACAGCTGTTTATCCTGCACCAGTGAAAGGCTGTAGAAAAAAATATTTATTTAGAAACATTTCTATGCCGCCTCTGCATGGAACCTGCCCAGCTCAACAGAGCACTAAACTCCTTGCTATTCATCAGTGTCAAACTGAACAGAAGCAGTCACCCTAGTTGTTTCCCTGCCTTCCACAATAACAATCCCACTTCGTTTTATAAAACAGACCTTTAACTCCATCAAATGAACAATCCCCCTCAGCAGTGGTACTAAGTATAGGTGGTTGAAACCGTAGGTTTAAGACATTAGGAATTATTGCATTATATGGCTTTCATTATGATTCTTAATTACTGACATTTCTTTAGTGAGCTGAGTGGAAGTATTCTTTGGTCCTAATCTATGCTTTGGGTTTGTTTGTTTTAAACCCAAAACCTTTAATTGAGATGGGAGGAGAAAAGGACATTAATATAAAGACTGAGTTCTGATGATCCTACAAACTATTGCCAGAGAATCAGGTATATGCTGCGGACTCCCTTCTTGTGAGTCGATTTCATCTTGAAAATTCTAATTAGACGTCATTTATTATTTGTTTCTTGTATCAGTTATGTATGAATTGAATTTTGTTTGATTTTTTTCTCCATCAATTTCTATTGCAAATTTTGTTTAGAATGGTTCGATCAATTTGGTCCAGGCTAATAAGTACATTATAAAGTGATTAATTTTGCCTGACTGTTTTATACACTAAATACGCAATATAAATGTCATTGAAAATCTGTAAATAGCAAATACACAACCTGTATCATCCCATGATTCTATTTGTCCTACTGTCCCAGTAAGAACAGCTAATGTCACAGTGAGTCCATATTTTAGGCATCAGAACTAGAATTCAGATTCTACAAGCGGGGACCTGCAAGACTCATGAGACGGAGTCTCATCCTCCCCCCGATCAGCTTCCACAGGAAAAACCTGGGTCTGGAAGACCCTGCTCTGAAGCGCTAAATGCTACTTCACACTGACTGTCTTCGGGGGGGGGGGGGACGACCTCAGCAGGGTATGTCACAGAGCCCACCATTTTCTCCAGGGGGACTGAAGCCTTCTTTTAAAAAAAATTTAACACAAATTTATTTAAAAGTGGAAGTATTATACAGGAGTTCAGCCTTTAGCAACCTTGTTAATGTTTTACACCTTTAAGAAAGGGATATTCAACATGCAGCTGCAGGGAATCAATCAGAATAATTTTTAGAGAGCATTTGTCAGCCTATTTAAAAAGAAAGCTTCTAGCCGGGTAGAAAAGAGGACTGAAGTGCTACCACTATAAACAACTAGAGAGCAATTGAGCCAGCAACTTGAGATAGAGAGCAATTGCCAGCCAATTTTTAAAAAGAAGGCTTCTAGCCGGATAAAAAAGAGGACTGGTTGCTACTACTAGAAATAAATTAACTGCCTTGTTCCTAATTCAAACACTTGAAATGGAACTAGAAGTAAGTTAAAAGTTAACAATTATTAATAATTTCAAAAATTTAAAAATTATAACAAAATATTCCATTCAGCTTCATGTTTCTTTCCATTCTAAATAACCATGTTTGTTCCAGGATAATTTAAAGAAAGTAAAAAAGAAGTTAAGATGTAATAATTTGAAAATGGAACCAGAAGATAATTTGAAGAAAGTAAAAAAGAAGTTAAGCTGTATCAAGAGGCTGACACCTTTCAATATAATAGGATTACTCCTGAGGAAGATAACCGGGTGCTCATTGAGGATGATGGTTTTTCCTTGAGAATGTTAGGATTTCCTTAGTAATATTGTAAAAGTTTCATTTGTAATATAATTTGATATTCATAAGATTTATTAAACGTCATTGTCATTTTTATTACAGTGTTTGTTAGTTTGATATATTTCCTTATAACTGTGATTCCTTTTTTTTGTTTACTCACCTGGAGATTGGCAACAATGGTTTTCCAGGAGGAAATGGCTGGTTTGGAGAGTGGAGTCTATAGTATTGTACCTGTCTGAGGTCCTACCCCTCCACAAACCCCACCCTCTCCAGGCCCCATCCCTTAAATCTCTAGGAATTTCACAACCTGGAGTTGGAAACCCTATCTCCTTCCCGGCCAACCATCAACCATCTCTCTGCTGTCTGGAAAGCAGTTTTAATTCTGAGTGATCTCCAGTCCTCACCTGGAGATTGGCAGCAATGGTTCCCCAGGAGGAAAAGTACAGTCTTTCTCTGCAGTGGAGACCAAAGCAGCTCACATCATTTTTCTCTCCTCCTTTTGATCTGCACAACAACCCTGTGAGGTAGGTTAGGCTGAAAGCCTGTGACTGGTCTGAAATCACCCACTCAACTTCCACAACAAGAGCCTGAGTCTAGCAGACCCTGCTCTGAAGCGCTGCTATACATAGGGTAGCCAACCTCCAGGTGGAGCCTGAAAATCACCGGGTATCACAACTGAACTCCAGACAACAGATTCCCCATCCCGCAGAGAAAATAACTGCTTTGGAGGGTGGGTTCTATGGCATTCTATTCAGCTGAGGCCTCTCCCTTCCCCAAACTGGCTTCCTTAGACTCCACCACAGAATATCCAGGAATTTCCCAACCTGGAGCTGGCAACCCTAGTCAGGACTGGCCCCAATGAGTTCCCCACAAAGGCCTGGACAGGGCTTCCTCCCTTTGCCTTTTTACTGACAGAACCAAGCTTGGTTGCCTAGCAATAGCCACTGAGGGAAAAGTTAGTCCTACAGGAGCCAAGTGGGAGAAGTGTCTTAGTCAGGAGAGACAGCTGTTTTGATAGTTTATTCTGTGAGGGAAGAGTGTCCAGGCTGGCAGTGGGCGGGAGAGAGGAGCAGACCAGCACCCAGCCAATGGCACGTGAGTATTCTTGAGTAGCAGTTGATGGGCCAATGGTTGATGGAGCACACTGCACAGCCAATGGGAGGGCTGGAAATGGCCAATACATAATGGAATTATATATATATATATATATATATATGATATTTCTGTGTGCCCTGGTCAGTGTGGGGAAGACTGTGCAGCCTTGAACCCTTTTCCTCATTCCTTCTACAGCTCTTCTCTACATTCCAAAGGAGAGATGATGTCACATCTTTGAGACATATTACGAGTTCCTAAGCCAGTCCACATACACTGTTACCCCTAAAGCACATTCACTGCCCAAAAAGCTGAGTACCATCCCTGATGGAAGGGCAGAACACTGGATACAATAGTCACTGTGGTTCCTGTGGTTACAAGCAGATTGGCTGCCCTTTGTTCAGTAAGCTGATCAAGAAAATATACATATTTTCATTTGCACACACAAAATTAACTGTGCTTCAAATTTTAATCCAAAAAGGAACTATATATCAAAACTTTGGAGAAGCATTGTTCAACCTTCTGGCAAATAGATGTTTCCCCCCTTTTCAGAATGGCGCATCACCATCTTTTATTTATTTACACACAGAGGACTACACCTTGAAAAGAACAAGAGTCCAGTAGCACCTTAAGGACTAACAAAATTTGTGGCAGGGTATGAGCTTTCTTGAGTCACTGCTCAATTCTTCTAGGACTACATCCTATCAGCTTTTCTGCTGGTGAAAGAAGGAGGGGTCTTTCTAAACTACCAAAAAGGCTAGGGATCGTGGGATCCAGCTGGAGAACAGCCACATGGAATGGATGCTTCACCAAGGAGAAGATACAAGCAATACTGAAAGGAAACACTGGCCAAATTCAACCCACTTGATTTATTCTACTTTACACATATCAATCAATAAAATTAGGTTTGAACAATTTACATAATTCACCATCTGTATTTTTAATTCAGTTTGGTGTAGTGGTAAACCGTGTGGACTCTAATCTGGGAGAACCGGGTTTGATTCCCCACTCCTCCACTTGCACCCGCTGGATGACCTTGGGCAAGCCATAGTTCTGGCACAGCTGTCCTTGAAAAAGAACAGTTTCTGTCAGAGCTCTCTCAGCCCCACCTACCTCACAGGGTGTCTGTTGTGGGGAGGGGAAGGGAAAGGAGTTTGTAAGCCGCTCTGAGACACCTTTGGGTAGTGAAGGACGGGGTATAAATCCAATCTCTTCTTCTTCTTTTCTTAATTCCCTAACCATTCCCCTTAAAAACAGCTCTTTCATATAAGTCTATCACAATTAACAAAAATACTACGGAACTCAAAAAGATCTGTGGCTTTGTAATTTGCTTGCTTTCCCATGTTCTGCTGCTTTGTATCCCCCCCCCCCCGCTTTCAAAATGGTGATTTCTTGAGTTTTTATATATAGCTTGAATTGAACAGAGCCCTTGATTGCTCCCGTTTGCAAAAATGAAATTAAAAAAAAAAATGTCTTAGGCCTGCAGCAAAGAAAATCAAGGCTCCAGTCCTAAGAACATTGGGAACAGGCCCCATTAAATATCATGGAACTTCTATTTGAATAAATCTGCTTGGGATTGCTCCTGAAGGCATTCAGCTGAACTATAATGATGAAGTATTTTTAGATTAAGTATTATGTGTATTCCTGTAGCACTATTAAATAAGTCCTGAGCCCAATGTTTTAACTTACCTCTGAGCAAGCTAAGTGCTTGATGTTGTTGAACCAGTCCACGTGTGCACGACAGTGATCAAATGCATGGATAAGTTCATGTGTGACTACTCTGTTCATGTGCGATTGATGGCGAATGTTGTTTTGACACAGAACAATCTATAACACAAACACAAAAAGAAGTTAACTAAGTAAATAAGAGAGCCAGTTTGGTGTAGTGGTTAACCGTGCAGACTCTAATCTGGGAGAACCGGGTTTGATTCCCCACTCCTCCACTTGCACCTGGCTGGAGGACTTTGGGCAAGCCGTACTTCAGATAAGAGCTGTTCCTGAAGAAGAGCAGTTTCTGTCAGAGCTCTCTCAGCCCCACCCACCTCACAGGGTGTCTGTTGTGGGAAGGGGAAGGGAAAGGAGTTTGTAAGCCGCTCTGAGACACCTTCAGGTAGTGAAGGGTGGGGTATAAATCCAATCTCTTCTCCTTCTACTACTACTTTTACTTTATATCTATTTGCTTTACAACCCTGAACAATATATTCTCTCAACTTTTTTCCTTTCAAATACTGAATGAAAATATTTGGAGACATCCATCACCTGAAACACATTAACTGGATTTACAAAATGTAGATGTATTTATTTATTTAATTGGTTTATACCCTGCCCTCCCCACCGAGGCAGGCTCAGGGCAGCTTACATAAAAAGTTTAAACACATAAAACATATGCTGTCTCTCCAGAGTCCTGCTCCAGGTGGCTCATAAGGTAACAAAAAAAGCCCTTTTGATTGGAAAGACACTAAAATAATAAAACAGGCCTCAAAACTATCGATATTAAAACTAGTCTGACTCCCACAAGCCATTGAATTTTCTCCTTGAGTCAATCAGGCCCAGCACAGGTGGGCAAAGAGCCGCTTTCACTCTTCCCCCTAAGAGCTGAGTGATGCAAGCATTTGGGGAGGGGGAGATGCATTATCCTCTTGCTAAAATGCGACAGAAGGGGAGGAAGGAGAGCTACATTCCAACATTTACAGACCAGTTTTCCTACATTACATGTGGGGAAACAGGAAGGAGATAGATTGTCAGGTCACTTTACAGCCTGAAATAAAACAAGATTTCCTCATCTCTTCCCCATTTCCCATTCAGAAAGCAGATTTGCCTCTCCAGAGAAGGAGACGCCAGCCTAGGGACCTTTCACTGAGGCACTCCAGCTCTTCTGTCTCCTGGCCAAACTGAACACATCCAAGACAACGAACTGTCGCAATGCCTCTTATACGTACAATAAAGCCTGAAATCAGCACCAAGGAGAACATGAAGAAAAACATTATCCAGTGAACACAATCCCAGCTTGCTGTGGCTAGTGTTCCTAGTATTATGGGTTTTATTATGGCTTGCAGCAAATATAAACAAAATTCACCACTGCTGATTTTTGTATAGGACAACAATACTGTGCTATCAACTTTTGGAACACTCCACTTTAATTGTATTTCTCTGACCTGTGATGGATTATTCCCATTCTATCTACTCTTGTGATGGAGTAGTGAGAGTGTCGATCAGGGAAACTCAGGTTCGAATTCCCACTCCTCCATGGCAGCTTGCTGGGTGACCCTGGGCCAGTCACCTATTCTCAGCCTAATCAACCTCACAGGGTTGTAATGAGGATAAAATGGAGGAGAGGAGAACAGAATATGTTGCTTTGTGTCCCTACTGGGAAGAAAGGCGGGATATAAATGAATAAAAATCCATTTGTAAAGTGTGTACTCTTTCCAGACATTTAGTAACTTCATTACATTCTCTCAACAAAACTACAATATACTCACCAGTTTAGAGAAATCATGAATATAACAAATTCTTTAATAAAATTATGCAACAATTTACCTTTGCTAATACAGTGAAGTATAAAATGACTTGTATCTGTCAAGAGTATCATGCATTGCTCAGTATCTACCTGTGATGTCGAAGAATCAAATCCACCACTGACACATCCGTCACAATCTTCACAGGAAAAGTGTCGGTCTTTGAAAACAGTGCTAAGAAACACATGCATGGTGATATAGGTAAAGTGCAAGTATGGTTCCGAATTTTATCACAAACATAAATACAATAAATATATAAAATAGTTTGGGTTAAAAAAACCCCAAAACCTCACTTACCAGCCAGAATTGTTCATAGCATCAAGTAGCAGTTTAGCATATGGACCTAGAGTAAACAGCAATGCAATTATACATATTCCTAAGCAAACCTCTTGTGCAGAAAATAAAGCAACAGGCCATTTATTTAACAGTGCTTACCATCATGAGCCGTGGTGGCTCAGAGGTTAAGATGCTGAGCTGACCAGAAGTTTGGCAGTTCGAGACCCTAGTACTGTGTAAAAGAGTGAGCTCCCGTCTCTGGCCCCAGATCCTGCCAACCTAGCAGCTCAAAAGCAAGAAATTGCAAGTAGATAAATAGGTACCGCTTCAGTGGGAAGGTAACAGCATTCCGTGTGCCTCAGAATTTAGTCATGCCAGCCACATGACCATGGAAATGTCTTTGGACAGCGCTGGCTCTTTGGCTTGGAAACGGAGATGAGCACCGCCCCCTAAAGTTGGTTTGACTAGCTTTTGAGCAAGGGAAACCTTTACCTTTACCATCATAGTATATCATTCATTTGAAAAATCACTGCATTCAAAACTGGTTGTGATGCTTTCATTATGTAAATTTTTTTACGTGTTTTTCTGTGTTTTAATAGGGGGTTATATATATATGTGTGTGTGTGTGTGTGTAGATTAAAATGCAGACCTGTAGAGTAATACAAAATGGGTGCATAAGTGACTGAAGTGCATTATGTAGCATTGAGTTATTGCCGGGGCATAAGTTACCCAAGGTCCGGATTTATGCGATGGGCCCGGCCGAGAAGGATGAACTCCATAAATTTATTGACAAGAATTTAGCCAGAGGGTTCATCAGACCGGCTTCCTCCCCGTTTCCCGCTCTGGTGCTATTCCGGAAAAAGGACGGGTGTGTGTGGTTGTGCACTGACTATTGAGGGTTGAATGCGGTGTCATCTACCAATGCTTACCCCATGCCACTCATTAAAGACTTGTTGGCCGAGGCATCTAAAGGGAAAATCTTTTCCAAACTAGACCTCCGAGATGCCTACTTCCGAGTGCACATTAAAGAGGGGGATGAGCACAAGACTGCCTTTAATACCCCTCTGGGCCAATTCAAATATAGGGTAATGTCATTCGGTCTCCAGGGCACTCCTGGAGTTTTAATGAACTTGATCAACGAGGTGTTACACAAACATTTGTTCAATGGGGCCCTGGTCTATTTAGATGATGTCTTGCTGTACTCCCCCAATTTACCCTCACATGTGAAATTGGTGAGGGAAGTACTCCAGATGTTACATGAGCACAAACTGTTTGCTAAGTTGTCCAAATGCGAGTTCCACCAAACAGCCATTGACTTTTTGGGGTATAGAATCTTGGGGAAGGGGCTGGAAATGGACCTGGGGAAGGTAAGGGATGTACTGGGGTGGGAGGCCCCCCGCACCCACCGCCAGCTACAATCCTTCCTCAGATTCTCAAATTTTTATCGAAATTTTCTACCCAACTTTGTCCATCAGCTTGCCCCTCACTGATCTGTTGAAAACCAAAGGGAAGGGCCCGGAGGCTACCAAACCAGGTGCTAAGCTGCTCTGGACAAACGAATGCCAGGAGGCATTCGACCACCTCAAGGCGCTTTTTACTTCGAAGCCGGTATTAGCCCACCCCGATGAGAATAAAAAATTCATTGTCCAAGTCGACGCATCTGATGTTGCCATGGGGGGGGGGGCGATCCTGCAAGAGGGGGACGATGGGCGGTTACACCCCCTAGCCTACGTGTCCCGCAAGTTTAATGAGACTGAACACAATTGGTCTGTGTGGGACAAAGAAGCGGGAGCTATCTGGCTAGTGCTTTCTACGTGGAGGCACTGGTTGGAGGGGGCCCGAGTGCCTTTTGAGGTTTGGACTGATCGCAAAAACTTGGAAGTGTTGAAAAAACCCCATAGTCTCAGCGCTAAGCAGTTGTGATGGGCTGATTTATTTTCTAAGTTCTGGTTCATGCTCCACCATTTCCCGGGTTCAGCAAATTCTTTAGCTGACGCACTGTCATGCCTCCCCCAACATGACAGCCAAAGGGAGAAGATATTGGACTTCATGTTCACACCCTCGCAGCTGGGTGGGGCGGTGACAACTTGAAGTCGTGCGGGCTCCTCCCCCTGGCTCAGCTGTCCGGGTCCACCCCCTCCCCTCCTGGTCAAGTGGGAGGAACCACCTGGACTGCCAGATTTGCCTCCACCTTCTCGGATGATGACAGAGCGGAGGTGGAAGGTGAAGGGGGGGGGGTTGGAACTGAAAGCGGATGGATGTTGGTACCGCGGCATGAAACTATTCATACTTAAAACGTTGCGGGGGGAAATATTGGTGGCGGTCCATGGCTCCAAACTCGCCGGCCACACAGGGTTTGTCAAATCCCTTCAGCTCTTACAAAGACAATTTTGGTGGCCACTCATGTGCAAAGATTTGTCCTCGTTCGTTAAGTCATGCAAAACTTGTGTCATGTGTAAACCTAGACCGGGGAAAACCCCGGGGCTGCTAAAACCTCTCCCCACTCAGAGTTGACCATGGGAGGTGATCTCTATGGATTTTATCATGGACTTGCCCCCTAGTAAATCCATGACTGTCATCTGGGTGATTGTTGATCTGTTTTCTAAACAGGTTCACTTCGTCCCCTTTGCTTCCTTGCCCTCCGCAAAGGTTTTAGTGAAGGCATTTTTGCAACACGTGGTGCGCCTTCACACGCTCCAGGGCAAAATTATCTCCTACTGGGGGACCCAATTCGCTTCCAAGTTTTGGGGGGAGCTGTTGAAACTCATAGGGGTAGAACGGGCCATGAATAGCACTTATCACCCAGAGACTGATGGGCAGACCAAACATGTGAATCAGACTCTGGAACAATATTTACGTTGCTTCACCAACTACCAGCAGGATGATTGGGCTGACTTGTTGCCGCTGGCTGAATTTTGCTACAACAACACGACTCATTCCTCTACGGGAATGTCCCCTTTCAAGGCTCTATATGGCTATGACAGCCCCCCTATGCCGTTCCTCGAGGCTGACGCCTTGGGCCCGGGGGATCCTGCACGGTGGTGTCAACAACTTAAAGACTCCTGGCTTTTGTTGTGCAAAACATTAGAGGTGGCGAAGGAGGCTTACAAGGCTCAGGCTGACAAGAGAAGGGTGGAGGGTTGGGCTCTGCAGCCTGGTGACTCTGTTTATGTCTCTACTAACAACATTAAGGTTTTAAGACCCAGCCGCAAACTAGGCTGGAAGTTCATTGGCCCATTTAAAGTCAAATGTCTAATCAATGAGGTTACTGTGGATCTAGAACTTCCTAAAAACATGACGAATATCCATTCTGTGTTTCATTTCAGCTTCCTGAAGTGGGACCCAGGTCCGAGTCCCTGGCACCCAACAAGGCCGGTGCCCCCTCCTCTCATGGTAAAGGGCGAGGAACATTTCGAAGTGTCTAAAATCCTGGACTCTGAACAGAAACGTGGCAAACTGTATTAATTGATTGAATGGGTAGACTTTGGACCCCAGCACCAAGAATGGGTGGAAGTAGGGGATATTCAGGCCCCTCAGCTTTTATGGGAGTTTTACCGGGAGTTTCCGGGGTATTAGCCGAGAGATTGTTCTTTAGGTGGGCAGAATGTCAGCTATGCTGCCATATTGTTTATGGGCCTTGAGTTCGCCTGCCTGACCTGTGTACATGTTGGTGCCACATTCCTTCCCTCTCGCTTCTCCCCTTGTTATCTCTGACCTTGTACTCCTGCCTGTGTAGTGTCTCCACTTTAATTAACCGTGAGACTAGTTTTGTTTCTCAGCCTGGGATCGGTTACTCTTTCCTGCCCATGGGAAAAGGGGTGATTGGCCCACAGGTGGGGGGGGACCTCTTGAATCTTCTATATCATTTCATGCTTGTTCCTTGCTCATCATTCCTAACAGTGACCATGTTACTGCAACCGTAGTACTAACAATAAAGCAAAACCTTTCTTGGAGGTGTGTGCTCAGTTGTTTGGCTGTGGGTCCTGACAATATGCAACTAAGCCTTTCTGTTCTTTGAGTCCAACTAAAAATTTTAAGGCGAGAGCCTTTGGTAGCAATGAAAATAAGGAAGGTAAGAACGTGGCATAACACATTACCCCAGAACAGTACAGAGAGGTGCCTTTACAAAAGTTACCCAAAAAAGGTCTCACAGAGAAAAAGTGAAAACTATTACACTGGCCTATATATGTAGTGAGAGAACGATAACCAATCCAAAGTATCAGTGTCAGTTATTACGGGCCTTTATATTTTTCTCACATCCAGACTAATAAATAATTGTGGTGAACTTGAAAGCTGTCACACTGTTTTGTGTCATTTCCATTGAAACAAATAAAAGTTATTATGTGGACCATATTTTTGGTTATGGATACTCGCTGTTTCTTTACTTCCTTAAAGACATCCACAAGCGATCCAGTCATGAGACCAAAGCAAAGCAATTCCCATAGGGAAGAGAACAATGGCTCATCTATCTAGGGACAGGACCTAGGCATTTAAAGGATTATGCTCCCATACCATCTCACACTTTACAGATGAAATTAGAGATTATGTTTGTAAAATCCCAATTGTACTTCCAAGGATCACTACTCAAGCTACTACTGCCACCACCCCAATGATACACTGCTAAAGGTTCTAACCTAACAGCTGTACTTTACTCTGTAATTGGCTGGCCCACATTGACAAACAGGTGCTTGCTCTTTTGCCTAGAAATATTGAGATAAGAGTCCAAATGTCTACAATCTGTTCTCAACAGCAGCAGTGCATGAAATGCCAGTCTGGGCACTTTGGGTTACCTCAGACCTAGTTCACACAGGCAGAAGAATAAGGTGGCAGAATGAACCGTACCACTTCAGAATGGAGGTTGAAGATGCAGCTTTGAACATTTCTTCATTTTAAAAAATACAAATCCTCTCTGCCAACAGAAAGTTATCACAGCAGAGGCAAAGGTTCTACCACCTTCTTTTCAGTTTGCAGTGATCTCCTATTCGCAGAGAGGTTTTTAATACAGGGAAGTATTCAAAAATGTGATCCTCCAGGTGCATTCTGAACGCAATTCTACAGCCTCAACTTCTGAATCGAGTCTTACTAATGTTAGTGTATACATTGACCTACACATGTATATATTGGCAAGATGTGCCCACTTTCCCATTTCTCCAGAGTTAACTTCTCTGGCAAAGGACCTAGATCTTGAAGAATAACAGTTGCTGAAAGTAGATTCAGAGGGGTAGGGTAGCCGTGCTGGTCTTAAGCAGCCGTTTGAATCAAAGTCAAAAACTAGGGCCAGCGATAGGAATCGGGGAACAGGGCTGTTGGAGCTCCTCAGCTCTTGCCCAAACACAGCCCAGGAAGCAATACCTCTGCTTTGCCCTCCCGCCTCCTTCCCCGGAGAGTGTCACTTACTGGTGTCCAGGGCGATCTTCAGCATCACCTGACACTTGTGGTTGAAGGTGAACAGGCTGTTGTACAGAAAAGACTTCGCTTTCGTCGTCTCTCCGCGCCGCCGGTCCTGGATCAGGCCATACCCGAAATCATCCTCTTTCTCGCTGCCGCTGCTCCCCGATTGCGGTGGCTCCTCTGAAGCCATCGGGAAGTCGATCTGTCGTATTCAAAGCACAAGGGAGGAGGGGTGAGAGAGAGAGGAGGGAAAAGAAACGCTTGTTTCCTTGACTTGTGCCTTGTCGGCTATCGTAGCCATAAAGTAAAACCTCGCTGTTCCGCCGCATTGCTTCCTCCAATCACAAACAGGAATGGGAGGGGCGTCTCTCTGCGGTTAGCGTTCGTAACCATGATACCCGGAGGGGCGACGATGCGCATGCGGGGTGGAGATAGTCGCAGACAACCTAAGAGAGTGAGGGCCCGTAATCTTTGACGTCGCGCGGCTGCTTTGTAGTGCTTGGGATTCTGGGAAAGGGAAGGGAAGTGCGGTCTCGGTGGGGGTTGGTCGGTGTCACGCAGGTGAGGAGGCATGTCGTCTAGGCGCGCTCTGGATTCGGGTTATACACCAGTGGGGAGTGTGGAGGTAGTGACTGTGAAGGGGCGATTTGCTCAGGCGTCCTTCGGAGCATCCTTGGAACCGGCGAGGAGGCTCCCGGTGGGAAGAGAAAAGTCGTAACGTGGAAGGATGAGTTTTGAAGGAGGTCTTCTCTCTTCAAGCGCACACAGATCCCGCCTTCTTTCACTGTTGTGTTTGAAGCCTCGTGCAGAGTTACGGCAGTCCAAGCCCATTGGTTTTAATGGGTTTAGAACAGAGTAATTGTGTATATAGGATTCCACTGTAAGAAACGTCGCACCAGCCGTGTGGATCCACGGGAGGGGGGGGAACCACTCCAAAACCCAGCAGTAGAACAACACTTTTCTTACCACTGAGGCTGGCTGTATAGGAAGGTTTGCCCTGGGTTATTATCCGTACTGGGGTGGATTGGAGGGCAGACATCATCCTTTAATCAGTTTTTTAAAAGATTTTCCCGTGCTGTGTTGCAGTCTTTCCTAAACCTGGCTCAACAAGATCTTCTTGGAAAGATCGCAAAGTGCCTTTGCGCGCTGAGTAGCCAGGAAGGGGTGTGTGTGTTTTAAGGTCTCATATGGTCTGTTTTTCGTGCCTCAGCTCCCGCTGCACCACTGGAGGGCTTCTGGTTCTCTCTTTCTCACCAATTGGCAGTTGCGAGATTGTTATAACAGTATCGTATTACAGCAATCTGTTGCTATGATCTGTTAGCTTCCCTATGTTCCCAGCTTACTTTTTTTCAAATGGCAGTCTCTTGCCTTTTTCATTGCAGGTTGCACTGCTCTGTTGCCATTGCAAATGCCTCTGTGTTCTCCAGAGCAATAAGATTTATGCAGAGAGAGCAGCAAACTGAGGACTAGAAAAGATGATACCATGTCCCCAACTCTGCCACGGATGTATCATATTTTTTTTTAACTTTTAAAAATGCTGGACACTGGTGCAGATGGGATGAGGGGCTCCTATCTCCCTCCCCTTGCTATTTCAAGATCATTCAGTGCTTGAAAATGGCACGGGTCAGACAGGAGTCCCTCATCCTCCCGCACTGCAGGATTGGTCCTCTGTGACATATAATCGAACAGGGTTGGATTTGATTTAAGTCATGATTCAGTATGACTCGATTTAAACCATCGTTTTCTACATAAAGGCTCATTCTTGCTGGCCTTAACATTTACAACCCAGATGAAGGTTTCATTTTAGTGTAATCATTTTTCACGTTAGTTTTAGTTGTATCAGAAAATTAGTAATTGTATATTTACCACTTGATATAGATAATTATGAAATTATCGCAAGGTGAACTGTCTCTGGTTTAATAGGTTAATCATTCATATTTGAAGAAGACGAAGAGATTGGATTTATACCCTGCCCTTCACTCGGAGTCTCAGGGCGGCTTACAAACTCCTTTCCCTTTCCTTCCCCACAACAGACACCCTGCGAGGTAGGTGGGGCTGAGAGAGCTCTTTCAAGAACTGCTCTTTCAATGATAGCTCTGACAGAACTATGGCTTGCCCCAGGTCATCCAGTAGCTGCAAGTGGAGGAGTGGGGAGTCTGCACACTTAACCACCACACCAAAAGTTGGACAACTTTTCTGCTGTACTTTATTGGAGAAAGAAAAATAATCATTAACAATAACCATTTAAGATAGATTCAGGTAGCAGTGTTGGTCTGAAGCAGCAGAACAAAGTTTGAGTCCAGTGGCACCTTTAAGATTAACAAAGTTTTATTCATGTGTTTATTCACACTTCCTCAGATACCCTTTTTAAAAGTTTTTTTTTTTAGTATTAAACTCTCCTAAAAAGGAGAGACCTTTTTTAAAGTTGTTTTGTTTAACTGAAACAATAACATTATATAGCATACGTATTTTTGTATTTGCTTTAGAAGCATGAGGATACACTTAGAAAGATCTCATGATTTCTGGAGTATTGTGCTCAAAAAGTTTCACTTTCATTTGTACTGCTTGCCGCTCCCCCCTCACATTTAGCTCTTAACATCTTCTTATCCAGACCTATTCCACCCCAAACAATCTTATATTCACTGAACTTCTTGAAACTTGGCGCGTAAGAGATAAGGGGTTGATTCTGTGTGCATAGATTTGCAGAGGACCAACAGGACTGAGGTCTCTTAATTCTGTATGTTTATTTTATGACATTTCTGCCGTGAAGAAGATGCATGTTATCTATGCAGACACAAATTCACAGCTTTGAGAACTGCAAAACCAAGCATCTGATAATCTAGACAAAACAATTGCCCAAAATAGCCTTACAGAAACCACTGGGAGAGCATGACATTGTGAATGAATTAATGGAATTAATTTACCAGAGAAATTAAACATTGTATAATATACAGTCTCAAGCTACATAATTACAACTAATCCATATTTCATGATGAATAACCTTTATTTATTTATTTATTATATTTATACCCCACCCATCCTGCGAACAGGCTCAGGGCGGCTAACAGAAGCGGTACAATGTACCTAGTCACCATAACCATAAAAATTTAAAACTACATAAAATACATACTCATTCATATACATGTAATTAACAATTAGCAATAAAGTGCTCGCAGTGCTAAAACATTTGATGGCGTGCTTTCAGATCTAAATCCATATTGTTCGTCCGATCATCATCCCACGAACCGATGGACCTAGCGATACATCTGGGCCAGTCCTAGGATCCAGAAATTCGATAGGCTCATTGATGGCAACAGTAGTGGCGGCTCCTATTTAAAGACCTGGTGGAAGAGCTCCGTCTTACAGGCCCTGCGAAACTGTAATAGGTCCCGCAGGGCCCTGATCTCCTCCGGGAGCTCATTCCACCAGTAATGAGCCGCCACAGAAAAGGCTCTGGCCCTGGTACTGGTGAGCCTTGCATCCTTGGGGCCCGGAATAGTCAAATGATGTTGGGCCCCTGACCGTAGTGTTCTCTTGGGTACATATGGGGAAAGGCGGTCCCTCAGGTAGGTCGGTCCCTGGTCATGTAGGGCTTTAAAGGTAAGCACTTTGGACTATAATGTATCTTAAATAGAAAACTATCTTTAGATAGATTTTTCCTCAAAAAACATTCCATTAAAAATCCAATTTAAATTTTAAAAAACAATTTCAGTTTTTAAAAATCTGATTTTTAAAAATGATTTAAAATTTATTATTATCCACCCTGTGATCTAAAATCGTACCATATCTGTATGGCAGATTTGGGGATACAGTGTCATCTAGCTTGGCCCTAAATAATTGCCAAGTAATGAGCAGGATTCTCTTTTCCTTTGCCTAGATTGCCTGTACAGTTGTTCTGCTGCACATATCATCTGAAGAACTTGAAATCCTGATTACTGCTTGGAGACTTTTAATTTGTTCGTGTAAAAAATCTTTGTGTTCTTGCTGTATTTGGATTAAACTTGATGGTTACTTGAAGTTCTGCCATTTTCATGGGGGAACGGGTTTTGCATAGCTTCTGGCTTTAACCCAGGGGTGAAGTTTATGGAATAATTTGGTCTTCCCAATGCATTCTTTCCCCCTCATTCCTCCCTCTTCCCTTAATAAAGTCTTTTGCAAATGCTTTTTTACTAGCCTGGATTTTCCCCAACACAGAAAGAAACCAGATGACTTCACCAAATAAAGCAATAGAGTTACAGCTGCAAGTACGGCAGAATGCAGAAGAGCTACAAGATTTTGTGAAAGACTTAGAAAGTTGGGAAAAGGATATTAAAGAAAAGGATTCAGATTTAAGGCGGCAGAGCGGAACTCTAGTAAAGGTAAGTGCCCTGCTATGGTGTTAAGATATGTGAATGTTAAAATATGATCTGTACTACTTCCTTTGATTCAAATGGAATTGATAAAGCTATTTTAATAATTGTAATCTGCCTTTAATTCAGTGGCCAAAAAGTTCTACATAAGTGCATCAGATAAATAAACTACAAAACTGATTTAGTTTCAGCAGCATGTATTTAACATTATAGTTTACCTGTACGTTGTACCCAAAGTTGAAACTACTGAGATTTCATTTCTAGTTTATGGAAGCTCAAGGAAATTGTGCACTGCCAGTGGTATTTTGGCTTGATGGCAGTCTGAGCAATAGCATTGGCAGCACATACTAACTGATAGTATGGTGTATAGGGTTGCAGGTGTGGAAGCCTGGGTTCAAATCCCCATTCTGCGATTAAGTTCACTGGGTGTCCTTGGGTCAGTCACACTTTTCTCAACCTTCGTTGCAGGCTGTGACAGTAAAATGGATGTAGGGGATTATGTATGCCACTCTTGAGTTCCTCGAAGCATGGCAAGGATGAACATCAAGTAATCAAAGATATTAGTGCTAAATCACTTGTGTTAACTGACCTCAAGGAGGAGGGGACCCTCTGTTTACCTTCACTAGTGTGATTACAGCCTTTGTAGTTCAGAATCCATTAATGATAATGAATCCAGACTACATTGGCACTTTTTGCCGATTTCCCACTTTCTGCTGCAGACTCCCCTCATGTCATTCTGAAGGGTCACATATCCTCCAGGAGTAACATTTTTGTGGAGATCAATGAAAGGGGGAAGGCAGGAAAGTTCTATTCTGCCACTGGAAAATTTAGTCTTGATCTAACCTAAGGTGATTTCTTGAAAACCACTGAGCAAGGACATTCATGTACAGTTCTGATGCTGAAATCAATCTGCGTCCATATTGCATTGCTCATTGGGTTCTGCTGAATTGGCTGGATGCATCTCTTTAAGTAGATGTGAATGCATATCCCCATCTGGAGCAAAGACTGCAAAGACTAATAGCAAGCGACAAGAAGTGCATTGGCGGGTGCTGATTTTGTACTGACAGGCCAATTTTATAAATTACGTCTATCTCTAAATTACTAAATGTTGTGTAAAAGCAAAGAGCCACATTTTTCTTTATTTAGGATTTACCTCCAATTCGAAATGAAGCTTATAAGAAGAAAAAGAAGAGCAAAATTAAAAAAGTCTCCAAGAAAACAACTGAAGAAAATAAAAAGAACAAGATAAAATCTTATGATTATGAAGCATGGGGAAAGCTTGATGTGGTGAGTTAACTTGTACATAAGACGAAGCCAAATTACAGCAATTTTATTTTGTGAAGTTTGGATATGTAATGTTAAACTTTATATAATACTTCTAAATAAAATTTTGAGTTGTCACATTCTTTAATAAGGCTGCATTAAGGTAGGACTTAAGTGATCAAATGTCACTGAAGATTCATATGTAAAAACTAATATTTGATTGAAATCGGTTATCAGCAATTTTAAAAATAGAAATGTCCCATTAGATGATAGTTGTATATGCAGCCATTCATGTGCCATATGTGATTTCTGTAAAGGGTTTTTTCCTCTTTCTTTGTATGTTGGACTAATTTCACATTTACTGATGGTATTAATATGACCAATCCTGTTTTTTTGTACTCTGTTATATTTCTGTGTTTTTCATGTATTAAGGAATTAAATATGCTTCATGAACTATTTTTATAACTTTACAAAACCAATGAATATGAGCTATATGAGTTAATTGTTCTTTGCTTTGTGTTCCATTTTGATATATAGTTTTCTAATTCACAAAACAAGGAATTCTTAGATTAAACATGTCTGCTTTGAGTTGAATTAAGGTTCCATAGTTCTTGCTAGATTTGCATTCTTGCACCATATCCTAAACTTTTTTAATGTGAATTTTTCAATGGATTTAAGTTCTTTTGGCATTTATTTCCAGGAAAGAAGTCATTAAGGCAGTTATGGTAGGCTCCATGTTTATGTTCTGTAGAATGAAGTAGTGAATGCTTTGGAGGGGTGAGTGGGGGTTTTGTTTGAATTCCTATCCACACTAAAAAGTGCATATAGAAAACTAATTCATCATCTCCTAGTGCACTAATTTTACATCAGGAGAATCTAAAACTATGAAAGATTCCCCTCCCCACACCCAACTTAGGTTTATTGTGATACAGCCCAACATCTACCACTACATTTTGCATATGGTACAGACTGAAAGCCGTAGGCCTTAAAACCGGTGAAACTAAATGTTTAGGCTGAAATTCAAGAATTCAGACTTAACTGCTGTGGGAGTTTTAGAAAATACTTGTAGAAGTTCACTTTTATCATTCCTTGTGAGGTGGTTTGTGGCTGCAAAACTGGCACTGGTTTTGTTCTTTTTGCCTTAGTTTTTTTCTTTGGGAGATATTTTTCAAGAAGCGTTCATAAGCAGCTGCTCAGCCTTGTGATATTACTGTGGCTTTCCAGATGTTTTAAAAAAGCTCTTGGCAAGAGTTCTGTAGAATAAAGTATTACATAAATAATCATTTGCTGTTACTCTATAGTATGTATTTTTGGTAAAGTATAAAGGAATAGTACTGCTTTGGCAATCTTTGGCCCTGTTCTCACGAGGGGTTTTGGGTCGGGAGTGGGCCGGATTGGGGGTGCAGCAAACGGGCACGATCCCACCGCAACATCTGGGAAGTGTTGTGGGCCCGTTCCCGATCTGGCCCTTCCCCCGACAGCCCCGCAGCAAACATGAACCACCTACCTAGGTGGTTCATCTGGTAGGTCCGCATCACGGCTGGCCGTGGGATCGCCGGTGCATCCCCGGCCGAACTGCGCATACTCACACATGCGCAGTTTGGCAGCCTCCCCCTCCCATTCGTCTCTTCCTCCCCAGCATCTGATCGTGCCGGGGAGCAACGGCTCACCGGATCCGTGGGATCCCGCCCGCAGCGTCTCTATTTTGGTGCAGCTCTAATTAGCCGCACTTTGACCGGTGTTTTCCCTGCCATGTGGCAGGGACCTTTATAAGCATGAAATGGAATAACTGAAAATTGGATCAGAAGATTACATGTTCTAGCAGTAGTCTAGAGGTGCTCATGCAAATAATTTTTTTTAACAGGGTACTTTTTCTATAATATAATTTCAAGAACTGATATTACTGGTATTGTAATAACACAATAATTTTTAATATCTGCTTTACTTCTTTTCTGATAGTTCTTAACTTCTAAGTGTCTTTAAATGTACTTCATTTCAGGATAAGATCCTTGAAGAACTGGATAAGGAAGACAGTACCCACGATTCAGTGTCTCTAGAGTCAGATTCTGAAGAAGACGGAATTCATATAGACACAGAAAAGGCGCTTATTGAGAAAGAAAAGGTTATTGCCTTGTTTTTAAATGAAGGACACCCAATTCCTGATACCTACTCTCACCATCAGGTTTCTTTTTACTGGCTCTGAATTATTGTAGTTTGTCTCTGTGTCCTATGTATTTTTTACTTTGAAAAAGTTGATAGTTCAGTGTGAGTTTCAGAAGTCACTCTCACCTGTCTAAAATTGGAAGGTGGATATCCAGATCTCTCTAAGAGCATGTGATTGTTTTTCACATCCTCAAGGAAGCCCATATAATGTATTAAAGCTAATGGAAATGTCTACAGTTTATGATACGACTTGGGGAACAAGTCTGGACTTAAAAAAAGTTTTTAAATCATAATATAGTGAAGCCCCCACTCTTTGGATCACAGCTGTGATTTATAGTTTATTTGGCACCATCACTCTGCTAGCTGTGGTACTGAGATGTGAAGGGTTACAAAAAACTTTATATGATTGTGAGTACCTTCTTGTTTGTTTTTAATTAAGAAATATTAATCTAATTGCTTGCTCAAGCTAGACTTAGAACAGTGTTTCTGTATTCAAGCCTCCCAGTTTGTTAATGCCAATAGGTCTTATTCTCTGCAGCACAAATCAGGTTTGCTATACGAGTCTTGTATGATTTTCAGTTGCATATAAGATGTCAAAAATCAATGCTATGATGACTACTGAAAATCTTATTAGAATACAAAAGAACATGGTAAATACATATATATGGGATAGAGTTATCATTCAGTGGTAGAGCATGCATTGCATACAGAAGACCCGAGGTTCAGTTCTCAACTTTAATTAACGGAGCTCTAGTGGCAGTAGTAGAGAGACCATTCCCTGTCTGAAACCGTGGAATGCATCTGCCAGTCAGAGTAGACAGTACTACATAGACCGGTGGTCTGCTACTGTATAGTATAGCTTTAGATGTTCATATGTTGCCCGAAACTTGAAAAATAGCGCATGATTATTGCAAATGGGTTGATTATTTAGACTTGCATTACAGATTCAGTGCTATAGATCAGCTTCCAGCTACATTATTTCTTATTATTTATTTCTGTCAACATTCAAGAAATGTTCTCTGCATGATCAACAACATAGAATACTTATAGCACTGTGCATGTTTAAAAGTAGGAGAAACAGGACTGAACATTGAGGAGTCCCTTAGGGAACTCTCATAGAGAAGGGTAACTGTTCCAGTATCCCATATTGACACTTACCTCTGAGTGAAACCTACCAAAGTGGTGCCCCCAGCCAAGAAAATACAGAATATTATGTTGATGGTATCAAAAGCTGCTGAAAGGAACATTTTCACATCCTTCACATAGAGGATGCAAGAAAAGAGAGCAAATTGGCTTCCCAGGTGGTGGCATCCCAAAATTCTGGGGCCATCATCTTTGGGAAAGCTGATTTAGCTTCCAGAAGACATAGTGCTCTTTGTGAGGCCTTATTGGCTGACCTCAAACCTTGTGGCGGTGGGGAATGATTGTAGCAGATACCAGAACTTGAACAGTTCAGGGCTTGTTAGGCTAAAGCCATCACTTTATCTGAATCCAGAACATTTGTGTATCTAATGCAGGTGTTTTAAAATGAGGGTAATAATGTTCTTGGTGATTTATGCCCATTAACAGTTGAGTAGCATCAGTATGAACCAGTTGAAGTTTCTGGGTGTTTTGAAGGGTAACGCCATGTAGATATGTTATGCTAGTCTAATCTGGGTATAGATAGTAGTTACCAGGTGTCTCTATTCAAGAAACAGGCAAAAGCCAAGTGAATAGAGAAAGGTGACAACTTGCAATACTCTTGTTGCACTGTCCAAGTTGTGTGTTGTCTTCTTTTTTAAAAAAAAAACAGGGCAATAATTATTTTAAACAAGGAAATTATGATGCTGCAATAGAGTCTTACACAAAAGGAATGAATGCAGATCCTTACAATCCAGTTTTGCCTACGAACAGAGCATCTGCTTTTTTTCGAATGAAAAAGTAAGGCTTATATTGTATAGCTGTATGCTTTGCTTATGTGTAATCATAAGAAAGAGAGGTTGATGATAATTAAGTTCGTTGTGTGCTTATCCTGGAGGATTCTGTTACGTATCATCATTTCCCTTAAAAGATTCTGTCATCTTTGTTCTAATTCAAAAGCTATGAGCTTTCAAATCAAGATTTCACTATTTATTTAACAAGCCAAATCCTTTAGGACTAATTCATTTCCAAATTCACAGGTTGCTTTGTCTTAACTTTTAAAAAATGGAACAAGACTGATGTTTTTTCTCTCATTTTCTGAAGTAATATAAGAACTAAAGCCCTTTGCTATATATTGTAGATATTACCACTAAGCAAGGAAGCAAGGAAGAACCCAAAGACAAAAGTAATATACTACTTAAATACCTACAGGTGCTTTAATAGAAAGCAACCCTGCCTTTGATTAAATCTAAATAATTACTGTTGTCCTTTGATATCCTCGTCTCTAGAGTCAGCTCTTCTAGAAATACTAAATTTAATGCTGTAATTGGGGATTATCACAAGTCTTATTAGGGTGTATTTTATGAACAAATCTTAAGATCTTCAAATCAGAACTTGACTGGCTGAATGAGCAGTCAATCTGAGAGGATTTTGCATCGGGGAAGAGTCCACACCCCCCCCCCCCCCGTGCACACGCTCCCACAGCCTTTGGGTCCCTCAGCTGCCACTCTGAAAGACTGCCAATCCCCGGACTGCATTCCCTCGCTGCATTGCCTTGCTCCTGCCCACAGAGCCCACACCCAGTGTATCGGCCTCAGTCTGGGGGGAGCTGACGAAGGGGATGGACGCTTTGCGAGGGACGGGTTGCCTTGTCTCGGGCCTCCCCTTCGCCAGGGTGGCATCCGTCTGCTCCCCATCCTGCCTCTTTCCTCTCTATCATCCCCCACCCCTCTCCTGGAGGCTCCCTACCTCTCTCTGCTGAGTGGACCTCTGCCAAGACAGACAGGGCGACGCCTTGCCATGAAGCACCTGAAGGATCCCTCTGCCCTCCGCTTTCTTAACAACCCTCCAACACTTCCCCTTTCTGCCTTGCCGCTCTTTTGATCGTGCTCTTTCCTCTCCATCCCTCGCTCCGCTCTCTGCTTCCGGTCTGCCCAGCCTGTCCCATCTGCCCGTCCATCTCTCTCTTCCTCCTACCACCACCTCTGGCCCCCTGTCATCAGTGCGCTTACCTGGAAGTCTGAGTGCAATAAAACTTCCAGGTAAGTACGCTGCCTTTCCCCCTGCAGTGTCTTCTGCAGTTCTCCCCTTTCCAGCTTTTCTGTCTCTCAGTCCGGCTGCCTGGTTTCTTTCTGTCTCTCTCCCTCCCTCCGTTCCTCTGATTCTCTCTTCCCCCCATTCCCCCCTGTTTGCAGATTTCACTTTCGAGCTTTTCTGAGTCCACCTCGCTTGCTTGCGTCTGTCATCCTGCCCCACAGTTTCCTGCCTGTCCGTCCATCCCTCCCTCCCCCTCTCTCTCCACGGAGTCTCCAGACCCTCTTTCTAGAGCTCGTTACATTTATTTCTACAACATGCCTGATTACTAGTAGATGTATATTTCCATGACTCCAAACTTGAGAGATTCCAGAGGAAAAAAACAAGCCCATGTTTTGAGACATATGAATAAAAACTCCTTCAAAGCTAGGTCTTTCAGTGACCAAAAACACAGACTTGAGTTTTTCAGCACACTCCTTCACAAAAACGTTCAGTTCTACTTGTCTACAGCATAAAACAAATTACCAAAGAAAGTTTTCAGAATTAGCCCTTTGCATACCTAAAATACATATTTAACTTTTTATCATTGAATTTGGGTTGCAGTGCAGGAGTGCACTTTTCCTAAGATCCTGATTGTGAGCCATAGACAGAATCACATACACACAACTATGGGACTTCAGATCAATAAAAACCCCTGTCTTCATAGACATTATGGACACTTGTGAAACATGGATTAAGATTCTGTGTAGAAGTCTTTGTGTTCTGCTCCTTACTTTGTGTTCTGAGCCGGCCTCAGCTGGGAGGGTGGGGTATAAATCTGATAATAAATAAAATAAATTACTATTCCATGGTTGGTGCAAAACCCTGAGCGTAAAGAGAGTAAACCCCAACTGGAATGGAGCTGAGAGAATCAACACATCCCGTGCTCTTTTGTCCTGTTTCTTCTACACCGCCCCTGCCCCCCGCCCCCCATGCAGGGGTCAGGCTTCAAAACTTGCTACCAGTTTGCTTGTTGTTTTACTATAGTAACTTGTCTGTTAGGTTATATTTAGTAATGTGTTGATAAATTCCTTATTGTTAGATTTGGCATACTGCAGATACAGACTCTAGTATCGTGTGTTGCTTGGAAGGTCAGAATTCAGATTTGCAGAAAAACTAATACTAGCATTGAAACTGATACTTCCAATTCAATATATAGCAACTTCTGCCCCCTTCCCTTTAGCTGTTAAGACTTCCCAGCATACAGAATCCATGGGTGGAACTACAAGACAGAATGGCAAATGGGAGATAATAGAATGTCTCTTCCGTAAATAAATGTAGACAGCTAGTATATATTGCTTCAATTGTAATCCCAACACTGCTGTCCCAAACCTCAAATGTCACGTCTGCAGCTTCTCTGCTGGAGCAGCTTCAGATTTAATGTGTAATCCTTTTGTGTGTATTTTCTGGTGCCATGCGCCTTTGGTATGTCCATGTACAGATAATGAAGCCAGTATTCCTCTTTCTCACTTCAGTTTAACTAAGAAGTGAACCATCTGACAATTCTGGTGACCGCCTGCTTCCCTAAGCTTTTAATATCAAGAGCAGAAATGTTGATTTCTTAAGAGTTTGTGAGAGAGAGAGGCATATGATGCAGTCTGTCAAAACACTAGTCTCTTAAGGAGTTATGAATAAATAAACTTTGATAAAGATGAACTTGGAATGAGGAGGGGATAAATAATTCAATCCTGTAGCAAGACAAGAACTGAATAAAAGCAGTTAAATAACTATTAGCATAACTGAAAAATAAGTAATTCTTGCCTCTGCTGATTTTCAAGGAATGTTTGTCTTCACATTCAGTAACCCAAAATCTGCACACATGTTTAAAATATTCTCCTGGGAGTTGTTTAATTGTGGTTTCAGAAGAGAGGCAGTGAGAGCTGGTAGATATCTAAACGGGTGGAGACAGAGCTGTGGAACATGATCAGGCTCTGCAAGTTTCCCCTGAACCAGGGGGGCTTGCTGCTCAACAGCTCATGAAATAGCAGTGCAGACCAGTGAATTTAATAATGAGTAATAGCAATATTTTAGAACCAGAATGGAATGCCGGTGGCTTCCCAAAAGATACATGGGCCTGAAATCAGTGATAGGTCCTTCTGAAACAACCTGGTCTTGTGAATCTTCATTGACTTATTGTGGTGGGGGAGATGCAAACAGCACATGACAAGACTATACGCTGAGACGGTGGGGAATATAGAGTGTGGTCCAGGGTATCATATTCCTGAATGCTGCCTCCAGTTTACCATCAGTATGGATGTCTAGGAATTGGAAAGGCACCCTTACAAATTTTCATGAAATTTCACATCTTCATTTAATATGTATTGAAAAAATGTGTATTTTGAGTAACAAACGTACAGTATTTTTACAGATATTCTACGGCAGAATCTGATTGTAACTTAGCACTTGCCATAAATAAAAATTATACAAAGGCTTATGCCAGAAGAGGAGCAGCTCGCTTTGCTTTGCAAAATTTTATGGGTGCTAAAGAAGGTATGTTTGGTTTTTAAATGTTTTTTTTTTTGTATGTGTATGTAAATATCTATCGTATCTTTTTGAGCTGTTTATACTGTTTGATTGGGTTGGAGCCAGTTATCTTTTTCACTCAGTCTCACCCAATTCCTCTCCATACTATGGCCCCCATCGCAAATGGCTTTTAAAAATACAGGCTTGGCAGTTCTCATTGCAGCCTTTTTCTGTGATCAAACAGTACCCCTCCTTCCTTTTTTTACCAGCAGAAACTCTGGTTGGATCCAGAGTTAACTAACATTAAATAATAAACAGCATTTGATTACTGAGTTAACTAACTGGTATGCTGAGTGCTGATTTCCCATGTAGTTCTTTCCTGGTTAAAGTCTGTTGAATTACAATAATGTTCTGAAATTTGATGGTTTTTGCACTCTTCTCTCAAAATTAGTTGTAGGCTTACTGTTACAAAAAGGTAAAGGTTCCCTTGCTCGAAAGCCAGTCGAGTCTGACTCTAGGGTTGCGGTGCTCATCTCCGTTTCAAAGCCGAAGAGCCAGCGCTGTCCGAAGACATTTCCGTGGTCATGTGGCCAGCATGACTAAACACCAAGGCGCATGGAACGCTGTTACCTTCCCACTGAAGTGGTACCTATTTATCTACTTGCAATTTCTTGCTTTTGAACTGCTAGGTTGGCAAGAGCTGGAACTAGAGACAGGAGCTCACTCCATCATGCGGCACACTCGGGTCTCAAACTGCTGAACTACCAACCTTCCACAGCCTGCAGTTCAGTGTCTTAACCACTTGATCCACTGCAGCTCCTACTGTTACTGCCTCTAGACAAAGTTTGAGTGTAGTGGCACCTTTAAGACCAACAAAGTTTTATGCAAGGTATAACCTTCAATAAAACTTTGTTGGTCTTAAAGGTGCTACTGGACTCAAACTTTGTTCTACTTCTTTGGACCAACATGGCTACCCTCCTGAATCTAACCTCTAGACAAGTCAAAGATGTGTCCGGTTTGCATAGTATATAGTATATGGTATACCTAATTTAGGTATATCATTGTGATATGTCTCCTATATAAGAAATACAGCTGACATATACTACATTTGTTGCTAATTTTAATTTTTCTAATGGTTCAGTCACCTCCTTTCCCCCTTTACACCACATGTAACATTTAGTGCATGGTTTGAAAATACTCCAATTTCATTTGTTGTTTTACTGTTTAGATTATGAAAAAGTTTTAGAATTGGATCCAGACAATTTTGAAGCAAAAAGTGAACTCAGGAAAATTGAACAGGTAAAGTAGTTCTTAGGATACCATGACTTTTTTTTTGTTTATAGTAGCAATAGTTTGCATATATTATCTACCTTTTTATTTCAGGCTGTCATGTTAAAAGAAGATTCTCAGTCTGAAGAAACAGATGCCCACAAGAGAGCACAAACTGTAGAAGAAATTAAACAAATTGATATGGAGCAGTGTAAACAAAAGGCTATTGCAGAGAAAGATTTGGTAAATACAACAAAACTGTTTAACAAGAACTTATGGGACGGTGGGAAAGGCTGTAATCTTACAGTAATCAATCATGTGTCACGTTTCTTGGGCGTTTTTACATAGCAAAAGTAATTAATTGTGGAACTGGAGTCTCGTTCAGGGTGTGAAAAATAGAAGAAATGGGCTGAGCTGATACTGAATAACTAGGTGTTCAACACTTTGATTATAGGACCAGAGTATTTTTCTGAGCAGATAATTGAACTGGGATCCCTCCCCAGTCAGCCTGGTGTGGTGGCAACCTGCTTTATAGCATTACAGTGAAGGGGTATAGTGCTTTTCCTATTTGTCACTTACAATTCAGTTCTCAGATGCCAGCATCTTACTTTCATTGTTGAATAACAAATGGCTTTGCTTTAGGAAAACTGTTATTGACAGAATATGTTTGCAAGGATGAATGGCCAGAGTACTGATAAACTGAGGTTATTGTTTGCCCTGTTTTTGTAATCTTTACATTTATAGGATTTATTTTTACTATGTAAGTTTTCCTTAATTGCTCTTGAGATTAATAATGCTCTTTAGAAATACTTTGTATCCTTTTAGTATAGATTTGTTTTTCAGAGTATTATTGATAGGTATAAATATATTTACTCCCTACACTATAAATGCTCAGTTTTCCTTCCCGAATATTTTAGGGAAATGGATATTTCAAAGAAGGTAAATATGAAGCAGCAATAGAATGTTACACACGTGGAATTGCAGCAGATGGCACCAATGCTCTTCTCCCAGCGAACAGAGCCATGGCCTACCTAAGAACTCAAAAGTGAGTGGTGCTGCATTTACAGTCATTCCTCTGTATATTTTCTGAGATATCAGTTTTAAAATAACTGACCTCTGATTTTCTTTAAAACATGTGTAAGCAAGCAATCTTGTATTTAATTCTACTGTGGCAATTCCCTTGACATACACTATGGGAGATTATATTGCCACTTGAATTGGTCTGTTACTGGTCTATAAAATTGGCCTTTCTTTTTCTTCAGAACATGAGCAAGCTGTGCTGATTTCAAACAGGTGTTGCATAAAATTAAAACCTGTGTGGAGCTATATCATGCAAGCACCCCTTTCATGCATGCATGATGCCAAAGTACAGTTTATGTATATATTTTTTGTTCATTCCTATTCTGTTCAGTGACTTGCTCCCAAGAGTGCATAACAGTTGAAGCCTGAGAATAGTTTAAGCTGTGCAAGATAATGTGTTCAGCACTACTGTTAACTTACAAATTGTGTGTAATTGATTCAGTTTACGTATTCCACTGTGACACAGCATCCTTGTGAAGCTTTTCAAGGTTCTCAGTATATGAAATTTTAATAAGCATCTGTAACACATATCTCTTTTTAAAATCTGTATTATGCCCACTTTTTCATCAAGATTGGCTACCAGAACAGGTCACAAGATTTTAAACATATACTGTTTGTTGTAAGATACAAAGATACTAAGGGGTACATGCAGGTGTGTATGGCAGTCCCTTCTAGTTCCTAGCAGTGATGCAAAGAGTGGAGAAGATTCCAGGCTCTTCCCTCCAGACCAGGGGTGGCCAAACTTGCTTAATGTAACAGCCACACAGAATAAATGTCAGAAGTTTGAGAGCCACAAGACATGAACAAATATTATTGAAAAATATGCAGATTTACTTTTTATTGACATTAAATTAAACTGTGTGAAAGAACCTCATGTGACTTCCGAGCTGCAGTTTGGCCACCCCTGCTCCAGACTGAGTGGTGCATATCTACTGAAATGCTGGCAGAATAAGTCTTTTCTAATAATAATTTAAAGTAAATTAATTTTACTCTTTACTGAATTTAAGGTGGCATTTTTGAAATTTCCAAGTAAATTTAAAATACATATGACCAACTATCCTCTCCCTGATTAATCCAAGCACTTTCCCCAATGTCATGACACTGAGGTTGGTTTAAACAAGGAGCAGGTAACGTGTTCAGGTCCTGATATGACACAAATTAATACTTGCATGTTTGTTCAGTGTTTGCATGTCAAGCTGGAGTTAGTATAAGCTGTAAGGAATCAAAATAGTATCAGATCATCAGCAATGAGTAATCTGTTTAAAATTCTCTTTGAGATATGAAGAGGCAGAGAAAGATTGTAGTCAAGCCGTATTACTGGATTCTTCGTATTCTAAAGCCTATGCCAGAAGAGGGACTGCTAGAGCAGCACTGGGAAAATTTAAAGAAGCTATACAAGGTGAGGTTTTCAATAAAGGAGGGTGTCTTTTTATGCAGTAAATGTATCTTGTATACATTTAAGATGATAATACAAAGCCCTTTAAACACAGCTATTAAAATAGCCCAACGTCCTTTAAACACAACCATTAAAAAAAATAGGTCAGTGTCATTAAAACAAGCCAGGGCATAAAAACAGTACAAAGCCACACCGATCAAGTCACGCTGAATACAGCCCAGCCAAGTCAGACCCAAACAGCACTGCCTTGCATCTCTTCGTGAAAGCTGGCAAAGGGGGAGCACCTCCTGTTTCCAGTACTTCATTTCACAGATTGGATGCTGTAATTGATAGAACCCAGTTTCTGACATATTTTTAATAATTCATGTCAATAATGTTGATTTTGATAAGTAGTCAGTCCTTTTATTAATAATTAGGGGCATAATTGTGCAGATGCTAAGCAAGTCCTATTGTTTATAGTGGGAGAAATTTCTGCTTCATTTTGTATTGAATTCAATAATCTTAAAGGTAATTAAATTAGGCGAGGTTGCATCTCAACTGTTTCACATAAACATGTAGATGAAGAGCTGTCTTTTTGAAAACTGGTATATTTCCTAAAGAATTTATTAAATGTGACCATTTGCATTTATTACATGGATTTATCAGATTTTGAAATGGTCTTGAAGCTGGAACCTGGAAATAAGCAAGCAATTAATGAAGTAACGAAGCTTAAGAATGTAAGTGTGTTTATGAGTTTCTGTTGCTGTTTTGCATTTTCAGTAAATGCATTTTTAAGTGTGCATTTTGTGAATTTTTGATTGTTAACATTTTCATGAATGGCTGACTAATCTTTTTAAAGGAATTAATTGAAAAAGGTCTGTGCCCAGATCAGGAATATCCTGGACTGTTAAAGAATGAGATGGAATCACAAAACCTGGTGAAACCCATTGATAAACCCATGCATCTGAGATCAATAGTAAGTAGAAAGGAAAGATATATATGTATCCATATAGCTATGTAAATACATTTTTGGCATGTAACATTTCTGAATAGGAATTGCTGTATGTACAAATAATTTAATGAAAAAGAACTATTAAACACAAGTATGTCCTTGATTTGCTTCCACATTAAATCTTTGGGGATTTGAGGCAAAGATTTTCTTATTATTTTATTTCATGTATATCCCACCCTCCCCCACAAGCAGGCTCAGGGTGGGTCACAACATACTAATTCAGTACATAGAATAATTAAAAACATTTTAAAACAATAGAATCAATGAACAGCCATAATAAAATTCTAATCAGATCTAAAGAAGGCAGCCATTTCAGGGGTTCAAATGCCTTTCTTGGGGCTGGTTTTGATCTGGTTTTCTGTGCATCCCCCAGTAGTTAGTCATTCTCTCCCTGCCCTAACATTTAAGCTCCTTGCACCCTCTGGACAAAATGTTGGTGGGAGCAGGACAGGCTGTGTAAAGAAGAAGATAAAACACTCTGGAAAGAGAGAGCAAGCTTTGACTACCTTCCTTGCCAATCTAAAAGAGAGCAGGCTATCCACAAAGGAAGAGGGAAAGACCACAGATAGTAAAGGACGGCACATCTGAACTTAATACAGAAACAATGGTGAGGCAGAGGATGCAAGGTAAAGCAGTGGACAGTTATGAATGATCTCGTCTGGTGTAGTCATGTACTTACTACATTTATATCTCAACTTTATTTTATTATGGTAAAGGCTCCTTATATAGGATGTTAACTAAAACTGGACTTTAGATGTTAACTAAAGCTTTAGAAAAAGTGCCATGTTGTACACCCTTAAGCCATACTCTTGGACTTCATAGGGCAGATCCTGTGAAGCACTTCTAGAAGGCACTTATGGGAGTGGATATTCACAGCCTCCCCACAGTTAGCTCCCTGTGACTCCCAAAAGTTTGAGGGTTGGGGGAACCTGGTGGAAAAATACCATGCATTGGGGGGGAGGTCCTCAAATGAAGCAGGAGAAATGGTTAACATCTCCATTTTTTTTTGCATGAGTAGGAAGCTTGCTCTGCTAGCAGGAGTGGGAGAGAGGGATGATTTCACTCAGTTTAGTCTGTGAGGCTCTCTTGACTTTGTTTCAGGAGTCATAGTAGATTTCTGTGGGAAGGCAAGGAAGGGCCATTTCCATGAGCAGACCAGTCCAATGTATATACTGTATAAGGTGCCTCTCCTTAAGTACTTGTATTAGAGAGGATGAGGTGTCATCTTGAGTGATTTGCCTACAGAAGTGTGCACCATGTGCTCTTCATTTTTACTGTGATATGCTTAACCCAGTTTGCAGAATTCTGTCCTGTTGCTCATGAGCATAAAACTGAGCCCATGTACCCTCCACTTACTACAGATATGTGTTGTGTTTAGAAATCCTTGAGAAGAATAATAATTGAAGAAGTGGATGATGAGATGCCAAGTGCTGATTCAGTAGCTACCACCAGCCTTCAGCCTGGTTGGCCCATTTCTTCAAGTACAGAAGCAATGCAAGCTGCAGCGCCTACAAAGAATCCAGGCAAAGATGACTTCCATTCTCCAGCTGATACTCCCGAAGCAAAACTATTGAAAATGGAAGAAATAAGTGATTCTTTAATTATACGGTAAGTGCACTGATTTTTAGTATCAGATCTGAGTGGAGGTAGCAGGGATCTTTTGCTGAAGTAGATAAACTGGCTGGGATTCTCTGCCTGGTTTCTGATTGTGCTCTCCTTTGTCTGTTGCAAAGGTGATCCTTTGCTGCAAAATACATTGCTCTTGTTGTTGTCTAGGCTGTTTTCAGTTCCTGGCCTGGTGAGCAGAAAGATCTGATGCCAGAGAAATGTTGTGTTGAGCAGTGGAGGACTACCTCCATAATGGACAGAGGAAACTCAAGCAGAAACAAGGCACTGGATTCAATCCTTAGACAGGAAAAAGTTTCATTAATGGAACTAAAATAGAAATGTTAATGCCTGGTGATACTTTTTTCCTTAAGCTGCCTGAAAATTTAGCTAAGGATAGTTAATGCAAACAGTTGTGGTTGTCAGTGTGTACAACTTGCTTCTTTTAAATGAATCTTAAATGTCAGGTTTCACAATTGCTTTTCCTGGTCTAATAAGTATAAGTATACAAATGGGCCTATTGTGGAGGTTTTTTATTCCCACATCTTTACAGCTTCTAGAAAACACTATGTATAGTGTACTTTTGACAAAAGATCACTCTTGCAGCCAAGTTTCAATCTGTTGAAAATAAGCCAGATAGAATGACAGATAAATTACTGGTGAGCAAGTGGCCATACTATAATCAGTACTAAGAGTGCTTGTACATTTGACATGCTTTTTCTTTTGTGTTATGAAATTGTGGGGGGAAATTTGGCTTTTTTGAGCTATGGAAATTCACTTTTAGTGCACTGAAACTGAGGATTCTTTCTAGAACAGGATTTTGAACTATGTTTTTATTGATATATGTTATATGGATGTACCTGTATTTAGGCAGTTGGTATTCTTTTTTTCCCTCATTCCTTAATTCCATTTAATATATATGGAAGCAAAGATGCATTTTTCAATTCTTCTAAAGTGTTTCTTTTAGCCTTTTATATTTCACCACTTCCAAAAAATTGAATCCAAGTAGAAGCTTTGTTGTGTGATTTCCAGGAACATTAGAACTATACATAGGTCGGCCTGTTTTAAAGAGCATTGTGTGAACTATGTAGTTTAAAGTGAATTCTTACTTGCAGTGAATACTTACTTGAAAAATGTTTATTACGTAATGCTGGTTTTATGTTAGGAAATGGTCCGATCCAAAACATCCCATGAACACTCACTGCTGGTGCAAAATCATGCCCTTTATGGAATGAACTGTAGTCTGAAACTCATATTGTAGTCCTCATCCTTGCCACTGTCTTGCTTCTCTTCCTTCCTTATGGTAGGCTGTCATTTTCAGGTGTCCTCTTTTATTTCTGTCTTAATTCACTGTGCACAGCAGCTCCAGTGTACAGGTATTATGTTAGTCATAATTTAAAGGAGGGGAAAAACAGTACACAGCTTTGGGAGAAGAAACGTGTGTACCAGAGATGCTCAAAGATTGGTTAGGGCTAGTGAGATTCCAGCAGGTGAAATTAAATATAAGGCTATTCATGCAGATTTAACTGGACAGTCCACCAAGAATTGCTGGCTGACTTTGATTTGTTTTGATGGTGTTGCTGCAGAAGCCCTAAAGAAATTTTTGCAACAGCTCATTTATTCGTGGAATGGTATGTGTTTCTGAAAGCAAGTTTTTAAGCAGAACTATCTCATGTCTACCTTAATGTTTTTATACCTCTTAGTAATGAGAAAGAGGGATTGTCACCCGCTCTACAGTCTTGTAGTTTGAAAAAACCGGCTGAGACAGGAAGCCCAGCTCTCCTTCCCGTGTCTACGTTTTCTCTGCCTCCAGTCCCTGTGAATGCTTTCCAACTGGAATCAGATTTCAGAAAATTAAAAGGTTTCCCTGATCAGTTGTACACTTACTTGAAGGTAAAATCATATTTGTAATAGCTGAAATTTGGGTTGGAATGGGAATTACTCTCTGTATGTTAATTGATGGCCTGTCATAGCACCTTTCTTTAGAACAAACTTCCATCCTCAGTTTTGCTTTGCTTTTTCATGCCATAATTTTGGCATTGTGCCGTAATATCATCTTGGACGGCGCAACTGTTCAATGTAAGCCCCAGTGATTTATAGGAGCAGAACTGGTTGGGCTGTACCCAGAGAGCCAGTTTGGTGTAGCAGTTAAGAGCAGCAGATGCCAGACTCTAATCTGGAGAACCGGGTTTGTTTCCCCACTCCTCCACATGCAGCCAGCTGGGTGACCTTGGGTCAGTCACAGTCCCCTCAGAGCTGTTCTCACAAGAGCAGTTCTCTCAGAGCTCTCTCAGCCCCACCTATCTCACAGGGTGTTTGTTGTGGGGAGAGGAAAGGAAGGAGATTGTAAGCTACTCTGAGACTCTGAATAAAGGGTGGGGAATAAATCTAACTTCTACTACTCTTCTTTTTCCTCTTCTATTACTATTATTATTATTTAGCTACCTTTATATTAATAAAGATACGTATCCTATGATGAGAGGGTTCCTTTATTTTGACATGGTTGTGTTTCAGAGTTACAGGTATGCATAAACACACACCAGTGCAGATACTCAGCTCACATTCGGTAATCACCTGTTGACCTGTTCCCAAAATTCCTCAGTCCAACAATTAACATTCTAAAGAGTTTATTTATTAATTAATTCGATTTATATCCTGCCCGCCTTGCGTAGCAGGCTCAGGGCGGCTTACAGTAGATTATTAAAATACGTCATCATTTTGGTGTAGAGCAATTTTGGAGAGTGTGTGCAGTTACCATGAGAGATTATCCGTGGCCTACAGTGTAAACATTTAGCAATTGCACATCACATGAGGTAATAACAGCAAAATCTTTCCATTTTTAAAAAATTTCTTATGGAATTATTATGTGCATTTGATATGTAATAATTTGCCTTTTTTCTGTCCCTTTTGACAATTCCAGAAAGCAACACCTGGCTCTAAAGAAAATCTTTGTTCATATATTTGTTTCTAGATGTGTGTTGTTTAACAATTGTAGTATTGACCAGTGAGAAAGGCCCTAAGGGGCTGAAACACGTATGGTCTATAGGGAATTGGGCATGTGGTGTCACATTTCTCTTCAGTTAATTGGGGTGAGGATAATTTCCTAGCACCTCTCCTGGAGTAGTTTGAGATGGAAAGTGGTAGTTGAAAGTAGTTTGGTGCCACATACTACTTACATGCTTATATCACTGGACCCACTGGGTCTGGCTTCTTTTGGTTTTGCAAGGATCAGTTTTTGTTGTTGTTCAGTTGCACAGTCGAGTCCGACTCTTTGTGACCCCATGGACCAGATCACGCCAGGCCTTCCGGTCTTCCACCATTCTCTGAAGTTTGCTCAATTTCATGTCCATTGCATCTATGACACTGTCTAACCATCTCATCTTTTGCCGTCCCCGTCTTCTTTGATATCTTGACCCTAATATCACAGCCATATCTTGGGTTGATTCCCCGCCCCCTTTCTCATTTTTTGTCCTCAACTAAAGCCAGGAACTCTCTGCCTAGTAACATCCACACCCTGCAGGACCTAGTTCAGTTCTGCAGGGCATTTAAAAATGAGATGTTCCACCGGGCCTGTGGCGGAGAACAGGAACAGCATCTTACCATGGCCTTCACCAAGTCCGATCTACAACTCGTCTTATGGAGGGAGTGGAATCTTATGTATTTTGACTATCTGGAGTCTGTGTATTGATTTTATTACTATTTATTATCTAGTATTGTATTTTTAACCTGTTGTGTGTTCTATGATGATGTACACTGTCCTGAGCCCTTTGGGGGAGGGCGGTTTATAATGTAGCAAATAACAACAGCAGCAACAACAATAATCTCCTTTAATGTTGAGCCTGATAATATAGCAGCCATTGAATGTTTATACTTTCATCTTTGATATCTTGCCTAGACTTGATTTTCTCCTGAGTATTTATCATCATGCCATATGTTAAAAAAGGGTCTGGGACACCCAACCGGGCCTTCAAGGCAAAATGATCTGACCATGGAACTCTTATCAATGGCACTCAGATATATACCTATCTATCCCCATGCCAAAGATTAAATCCAGTATGTGACCTGCTTGGTATATGGAACCTGATACAATCTGGGGGTGTCCATGTGCTTCCATGGATGACACCAGGTCTGACACCTGCGAAGAGGCATCGGCATGGACTCTGAAGTCTCCCAGAACTATCAGTCCTGGGAACTCTGAGGCCCAGCCCGCTACATAAGCTCACTAGTCACATAAGCTTACTATGTGTGAGAGATCTGCATACTTCATGATGCCTTCTTTAAATACAACATTTTCACCACAGTTTCTGCTTATACTGGGCTATATTCTTTGCTATCTCTCATATTAATTTAATGTTACCATTTTACTGAACATAGTTTGAACATTCCTTGGCATTGCCCTTCTTTGGGATTGGAATGTATACTGACCTTTTCCAATCCTGTGGCCACTGTTGCGTTTTCCAAATTTGCTGGCAAATTGAGTGCAGCACTTTAACAGCATCATCTTTTAAGACTTTGAATAGCTCAGCTGGGATACCATCACCTCCACTAGCTTTGTTGTTAGTAATGCTTTCTAAGGATTCCTGAGAGCATTTTTAGACTTACTGAGACAGCTATATATCAGCATAGTCTTACATGCGAGATAGGAAATGCTGGGCAATAGAAGTGGTAAATGAATTAATTCTGTGTTAATAAAGTTGATGGTAAGAGAAAAATTAATGAATTAATATTGCTGGAATCAAAACCTTGATTACACACATGCCCTGGCTTTCCTAGGGATCAGAGAGGCATGTAGGACAAAATTTAGAGTGAGTTTTCTCTGTTGAAGTCACTATTGTATCATTACTATTTTTGGGAAACGTTTTAGATCTTTACCTGATCTTTGTGATAGCACAGATATATTCTCCAGATTCTGTTTTTAATTTAAGAAATCGTGTTGTAAACTTCTGAGATATAAAACGTAGTTAACATAGCAGAAGCCACTGTTTAAACCATTTGTGAAAGGATGATGTTCACTTTACCAAAACATGAGTTAATAAAATAATGTGGAAAACAGTAAAAGTGAAGAACAGAGAAATTTAGATTTATGGTTTAGGGTAAGCAGCTCAATTTAGGGAGACAAAATTGTGACAGCCCTCAACATTTTAAGTTCTGTGGGCAGTTCCTATGGGTACAGTCCCTTGGCTCCAGCTGGAAGGGTCAGCTGAAAGCAAAGAGGCTGTAGAGAAGATCTCGAGGACCATTCGATTGAGTTTGGTCTGTGGAGACCCACAAAGGCCCTCTGTTCAAATTGGAGTTACCTTGCTGGATTGAGGGAGGGACTTTGTAGTGGCTGTGCAGAAGTACCATTGAAGCAAACTGCTAAAAGCGTGTCTCTGGGTTCAGGCATTTTGAATCCCCTTGATGTAGCCAAGAAACTTATTTGCTCACCCTTTCAGACTTCATTGCCTACCATTGGGGTGGGGATCCCTGAAAGATGCAAGGTTTCTGGTGTATCTTGAGGCTCTAAGGCTGTATTCCTGCATTCTTTCTCGTCTTGTATTGGTGTCCGGCGAATCTATATGTATGACACCTGCTATGACAGCCCACAGTAGTCCTTTTTAGAACAATATATGGGATATAACAGTCTTTCAGACTTGTCTGCATAAGAACATTTATTTATTTATTTATTTATTTATTTATTAGATTTCTGGCTCGCCCTCCCCTTCTACAGCAGGCCTCAGGGCAAGTAACAACATATTATAAAACATCCATAAATAATTATTGAAAGCTATTAAAAATTAAAAACTAATCATAGTACATAGATGGTGCATAGAGTACAATTTCATCAGAATTATAATCAGCAGCATTGGGGAAAGGTCAAAAATGGGAAACAGGAGGGAGGCCCATCGAGGAAGCTGTCATACGGGTAACTACTGACCCTTCAGCTTGACATCTATACCTGGGAAAGTTTTAGAACAAATAATCAGACAGTCCTTGAGCATTTAGAAAGTATGGCTGTGATTACTAAGAGCCAGCATGGGTTTCTCAAGAACAAGTCATGTCAGACTAACCTTATCTCTTTTTTTGAGAAAATTACTGCCTATCTGGTAGCAAATATGGTAGAAGACAGAGTCAGGATACAGGATGATCTCTTTTTTTGGCCCCCCAAAGGGGATTTTTTAATTGCATTTTATATAAGGACTACAAACTACAATGGAAATAGGGGAGGGGAACTACATTAAAGGAGAAAGAAAAGATAACCACTACTAACTAAAAACCCAAGAGAGGAGATCATCAAATTAGCTTGTACACAATGCCATCCCTTAAAACACTAACAATTTTATGAACTTAGTCAGATATGCTAATATAACTTTTAAATCTTAAATTTAGCTGTTGGAAAAAGACCCCTAAGCATCTCAATATTAACAACAGTATTTTCAAAGGCACAATTCAGAGTCCTTCAGCCTTCATTTTTTCTTATCCTGTCTTTTCCGCAGTTTATAAGGACTTTTAGGAGCCGCTGCTCCTTTCTCAGACAGAAAGTCCTCTCCAGAAGAACCCGAGTCCAGCTCGCCACTGGACTTACTGTCCTTTTCCTCTTTATCCACCTCCTCTGGCTCACCCAACTGGATTCTCAGAAAGTCCCGTGCTTTGGAAACAGAGTCAATCTTTTCTTTTTTGTCCTGTAGTTTGAAGGTTACGTCCTCTGGATATAACCACTGGTAGCTAATTGCATTTGTTTGAAGAAAAAGAATTAAATCTTTATTTCTTTCTCCTTTGTCTTATTTCAAATGGGATATCTTTCAGAGTCCTGATAGTACTGTCCCCAATTTTCAAGGGTGTTCCCGCCGTCGCTCTCAGGATACAATCCCTCACGTGCCTCTTTGAGAATCTCATTACTATTTCCCCAGGCAGATTCTTCTTCTTTATGTATACGGAATAGGACCTGTAGGCCACATCCATTTCGCTCATGAAATAGTGCGCCTTCAAATCTGTCACTGGGGCCAATGCTTCGCTCATCATTTGCTTCAGATTCTCGCCCTTGGTCTCTGGGACACCTTGGAAACGAAGGACCAGGTTTGCCTTCTCCATTTGTAAAAGCTGTTCTTCTGTTGAAATTTGCTTCTTTTCCAATTTTTGTACCTTTTTCTTCACCTTTTGAGCAGTGGCGTCAACTTCTTTCACTTTCTCAGCTGTTTGTTCCGTAATTTTAAGAGTCTCATTCAATTGTGTCTTCTGAGTAGTGATACATTGGTTCATTGTTCGCATGGGAGGGGCCCCTCCCTCGCTTGCTTTACTTTCTAGTCCGTGGGGTAGGGAGCTTTCTTTTTAATTGCAAATACGCCTTAATCCGACTCACAGTTCATCTTCAGTCATACGACCTCGTTTAGCCTCCATTTTAACCGCTCGATCTCCAGCGCTTGCCCCTGTCAGCGTCGCTTCTTCCATTCGGACACTCAGCAGGAGGACCCTCAGGATGAAGAAGCGCCTCGATTCCCCAGCATTGCGCTGGTGAAGAGGCAACCTCTCAAAAGTCCCCTGGCTAGGAGCCTTTCAGCCAGGCTCCGTGGGAGGTAGCGATTCCTCGCCCCCCTTCCTTTCTGCTGGTGCACAGCTTTCACCCCCTGGGAGGTCCGGGAAATGAGTCTGCTCAGTGTGCCGCCATAGACCGGAAATCCAGGATGATCTTGACGGGCTGGAAAACTGGGCTAAAAGAAATTTAATGAATTTCAATGGGGATAAACACAAAGTTCTGCATTTAGGTAGGAAACATCAAATGCATAATTATAGGTTGGGGGAGACTTGTCTTGGCAGTAGTATGAGCAAAAAGGATCTAGAGGTCTTAGTAGACCATACACTGAACATGAGTCAGCAAAGTGATGCAGTAGCTAAACAGCCAAATGCGATTTTGAGCTGTATCAACAGAAGTATAGTGTCCAGATCACGCGAAGTGATGGTATCACTTTACTCTGCTCTGGTTAGACCTCACCTAGAGTATTGTGTTCAGTTTTGGGCACCACATTTTAAGAAGGATATAGACCAACTGGAACATGTCCAGAGGAGGGCAACGAAGATGGTGAGGGGTCCGGGCACCAGGTTCTATGAGGAAAGGTTCATGGAGCTGGCTGTTTTTAGCCTGGAGAGGAGATGACTCAGAGGTGATATGATAACCATCAGATACTTGAAGGGCTGTTGTAAGAGGATGGTGCGGAGTTGTTTTCTGTTGCCCCAGAAGGTCAGACCAGAACCAACGTGTTGTAATTAAATCAGAAGAGTTTTCGGCTAAACATTAGGAAGAACTTCCTGACAGAGCCTCAGTGGAACAGACTTGCTTGGGAGGTGGTGGGCTCTTCTTCTTTGGAGGTTTACAAACAGAGGCTAGATGGCCATCTGACAGCAATGCTAATTCTGTGAATTTAGGCAGGTCCTGAGAGGGAGGGCAGGAAGGGTTGCATCAGTGCTTAGTTCTTGTGGCCCTTTCTTACATGCCCAGGGAAAGGCTGATCACCACTTTGAGGTCAGGAAGCAATTTTTCTCCAGACCAGTTTGGCTGTAGATCCTGGAGATTTTTCTGTCATCTTCTGGGTGTGGAACAGCGGTCACTGGGGGTATGGAGGGGGAGGTATTCCTGAATTTCCGGCATTGTGCAGGGGGTTGGACTAGATGACCCTGGAAGTCCCTTCCAACTCTATGATTCTATACTCAGTCAGGGGCCTCAACCATAGGCCTAACGGAACAGCTCTGTTTTACAGGTCCTGCAGAACCGCACAAAATCTTGCAGGGCCCAGATCTCAGCTGGTAGAGCATTCTACCAGGCTGGCCAGAGCTGAAAAGGCTCTGTCTCTGGTCGAGGCTAATTGAATACTTCTTGGTCCAGGAACCACCAATAGGTCTTTGTTTAAAGAAAATAATGCTCTTGGGGGGGGTATACCAGGAGAGGCGGTCCCAAAGGTATGCTGGTCCCAGACTATACAGGGCTTTAAAGGTGAAAACCAACACCTTGAAAATCTGGAGTCAGTGCAACTGGCGGAGCACAGGTTGGATGTGTGCTCTTAGTGGAGTTTGCGTAAGAACTCACACCACTGTATTGTGGACCAGCTGAAGCTTCAGGGTCAGTCTCAAAGGTAGTCCTGTGTAGTGGGTTACAGTAGTCTGGTCTGGAGGTGACTTGCATGAATCACTGTGGCTAAGTCAGGGTGAGACAGGAAAGGGGCTGGTTGCCTGACCTGATGCAGACATAGAAACACCAGTCTGGCAACATTTGTGATCTGGGCCTCCATCAGTAAGGAGGCATCCAGTATACCCAGACTCTTCACAGTTGGCGCCGATGTTAAAGGCATGCTGTCAGGAGCTGACACCTGAATCTCCCCGGCCCAGCCACAGGACCTCCGTCTTCATAGGATTTAATTTCAGATGGCTCTGCTTCAACAATCCAACCATGGCCTCCAAGACCCCTGCCAGATTTTCAGGGGCAGAGGCTGGCTGGCCATCTACAGATATAGAAGAAGAAGAAGAAGAAAAAGAGATTGGATTTTTACCCCGCCCTTCACTACCCAAAGGAGTCTCAGAGCGGCTTACAAACTCCTTCCCTTCCCCTCCACACAACAGACACCCTGTGAGGTAGGTGGGGCTGAGAGAGCTCTGACAGAAACTGCTCTTTTTCAAGGACAGCTGTGCCAGAACTATGGCTTGCCCAAGGTCATCCAGCAGCTGCATGTGGAGGCGTGGGGAATCAAACCCGGTTCTCCCAGATTAGAGTCCGTGCACTTAACCACTACACCAAACTGGCTCTCATACTGATGACAGCCCAGCCCAAATTTCCACACCAGCTAGGTGAGAGGGTGTATATAGATTCTGAATAACATTGGGGAGAAAATGCTCCCTGGGGGACTCCAAATATCAAGGGGTATCATGGCAAGACTCTCTCCCGAAGCACCACCCTCTGTAATAGGTCATGATTGACCGTGTCAAACACTGCTGTCAGATCAAGTAGCAACAGCAGCACTGACCAGCCTCGAACACAAACCCCTGTTTATTGTCACAGGTTCCTCCTCCACATCCAGGAGGAGGCATTCTGTTAATGTAGGTTTTATTGGTGTCCTGTGAACCAAAAGTGTGCTTGAAGGCACATCTAGCACTTCTTTGAGACTGCATGTTGCAGGAGAAGGGCGCGCTGTCTTTAATGGAACCTTGTACCTCATGTACCAGTGTTCTCACTGAGGTGCTTTTAATAAGCTTCCATCAAACCCAATGGAGCACAGCTTGGAAATGGCTGGAATAATAGAGCATATTAATTAATTGCTGTGCTGCTGCTTCTTTTTTACTGGAACTATGCAACTATGTGGAAATAGAAGGATTGTATTTGAGATCTGCTTTAACTCTGTGTGTGTTTTCCCCAAAGCAAATTGATCCTTCACTTTATCCTAATATATTCCAAAACTCCTTGGATCCAGATGTATTTAGCCAAATTTTGAAAACTCTGCAGAGATTTTATATTGGGTAAGTTGATAACTTTTAGATTGTTTGCTGTTCAACACTGATGCCTTTCACTTGGACTCAGCTCTGGAAAGCAATTTTGATGTTTTTCACAGCACATGTCCTGCTGCACTGAACACTGGTTGTGGTGCTGACTGAAACAAACAAGATGTCAGTACTTAGAATTAATACTGCTTCAGTCTGTAGGAAATGTGATGTTTTATTAATCAAAGTAGGCAGTTTAAATGTAGGGAACAACTGCAGCAAAATTGTTGCTTCATGCTGAAACACTTTGCTGGGGTGCTTTTTGTACAAGATACTTGAATGAAAATCCAGCGATAAATGGATCTATGTGAAATGATCCACAAAAAGAGTTACCATGACAATCATCTCTTCTGTCATCTGACTATGCTGCACTTTGGAGGCACTGGAGCTTCTGAAGCACAGAACAAGGTTGAAGATAAGCCCCTGCCCTTTCTGAAGTTTGTCTCAGGTTTTACACTGTGTTTTGGAGCCATTTGGAATGCCTTCAAAGCTTGCTGCTCCGTTGGAAACATTGCAGTTTGAGATTAATGTGTCAATCTCTCACAAAGAACTGCATTTGGGAGACAGTCCCAAGAAACTCCTTTGCTTTCTAGGAGATTGAGAATGGCGAGGTTTTTTGATGACCACAAGTAACGTCTTGCCAGGGAGTCAAAATTTGTGGATCTTCCTTGTACCTGTTCTTGGGCAATCGATTTCAGTGCACCTTGATTTGTGAAATCAGAGATTCACTTTGAAAACCATGTCCTAGAGTCTGTAGACCTGCTTTCTTTCTAAGATGCCAAGAATTCAAAATCGAACAGTGTCTGTCTTCTTCATTGAGCCACATGAATATTAAGCTTCTTACTTTTTAGTTCCTGTGTTTAAGAGAATGCATCGCATCCCTAGTACTGAATATAACACTAAATATTTATGCTACACATATAGAAAGGAAGAAGTTGAGGTGGGAGTAACCAGATAGCTACAGCAAAGTAAGATGAGGTTGTCAAACAGGAAATAAAGGCTAAGGGAATATCTATGGGTATTTATGTTGGTGAGAAGCCAGAACATAATTTATCATTGGAATGTCAGTAATGGGATGTTTCTTATATGCAACAACTATAGCGATTCAGTTCATTAAGATGTTCCTGCTTCTCTCAATACGACTTGATTTTTAAATTATCAACAGGTGCATATTTGGTTTGCAGCTTGTCATAGGGGGAGCTTTTAGCTTAATCACTGCTTTATGTATTCATTTTAGTTCACATGCAAGTGTTAGTTTTTAATTTACACACTCTGCTCCAACTTGAAGTTAACAGTACTATATTTGTGTCATAAATTTTCCCAATTAGAGTTATTTTTCATAACATCTTCCTGTCTTGTAGAAAAGAGAAGCCTTCACTGATCTTAGAAATTCTGCAGAAACTGTCAGAATCAAAACGATTTGATATGGCAGTAATGTTCATGTCAGACTCAGAGAATAAAAGTAAGTGAAAATGCAGTCCAGATCGCTACTGAAATCTAGATAGTAAGTTGAGACCACCATGGTTGCTATTGTAGATTGCAGTAACCTCAGCAGAATCTTGAGTTTTAACTGTTTAGGAGAGATTTCTGTCCATCCATATGGGAGAAAATACTTTGCTCTGAAAAGCACTAAGAACAGTGATAGTGTAGCTCACTGTACAATTCTACTGCTCACTGTACAATTAATGTAGTTTTGAATTTTTGGAAAGACTCAACATTCCTACTAGTAATTATTGGTTCAGTGGAAATATGTAAGGCTTTCTTTTACAGCCTTAGTTTGGAGAATTCTAGTGTTGAGACTCCAGCAAGGTCTGGCTATAAGAGAAGAGTTACAGCTTCCAGTGCAATCCTGTGCAAATAGACCAAATCCCAGCAGCATTGCTTGGTAAACCTAAGCTACTGCATAAGGGTTCCGAGTAAGAAAGAAAAAAATTGCATCTCATCAGCTGAGTCAGGTTAGCTACTACCCACAGAGGTTTGACTTGTTGATTTCAAAAAAACTATGTCTTACCCACTTTTAAACAACTTTTGACATGTACATGTTGCTGTTACTTGGTAGTTTTGTTCATTTTTCAAGAGCTTATTGATGGTACATAGTTGATTCACACCTTTGGAAAGGTATCATGTGAGAAACTAGGTCATATGATATGTCTGATCTTAAAATAATGGATTTTTGAAATGAGCATTATTTATATATTGAGTTAAAAGCCTGCCTTTTTATTATTATGGGGTAATGAATCAGTAAATTCATTAGTGAAGTATTACTAAATCCCTTATCTCTTTTATTTATAGCTGTACATTCATTGTTCAGTCATTTGAAACAGTTGGGTTTAAATGATTCCTCAGTTAAAGACCTCAAGACAAGATACAGAATTTAAGACTAATGGCTTTCTGCATCTGTATGTATGAAGACGCCTTTTCTGTAAGGCACTTGTAACTGATGGGAAGAAACTGCAGACTGAGCAACATGCCTTCTACTCAGAGATATAGGAGTTAATTTCCACCATCCCAGTTGTATTTCCCTGTGCTGATTCCCATGTCATTTAGGTCTCCAATCATCTGTATTGGCTTGTTGGAGGGAGCAAGAAAGCAGTGTCCCATGCATGGTTCTTTGTATCCAAACTTATCAACAGCTAAGTGCGTAATGCAAGTGTTGACGTTCCAGATAGTTAAGAAACATTCTGCAATGCAGTTTAGCTAACCCCTGATTTACGCAGGATTCTTCATTCATGTTGTTGAATCCAGCTGATACTGAGCTGTCACAGTGTTCTTATGCTCTTTCTGTATTAACTGATTTTGCTTGTTAAAAGCTTTTTGGATTTTTGTTCTTATGAATAAATTCACAAATGCTTAATTCCAAAGGTTGGCTTGAATAAGTACGACTTTTTTTATATAAATTTTCTTTTACTGAGTGGGTGTTGCATAGTTCTTATCCCAATTTTTTTTTGTCATTATCTTTTGGGTGATCTCCAATAATAGACAAACCGAAAGTCCAAATTTTCTAACATCTAAAGAACATTCTTTGGCTGCTAAGATCATGTTGGCCATTTGGGGTAGGGGATTGTTATACCAGTGTCATAGAGTCCTTCAATAAGATTAGCACAGTGACATCAGATGGTTTATTTTATTGAAATATGTTTTAACTGCTTTTAGCTTCTTCAACAAGGGGGGAGTAAAACTTCATAGGTGGATTTGATTTAAAAACTGCATGATTGCACCAGGATTAGGTTTCAGTCCCACACACAAGGCAAGCACAGAGATTTCTGGGTGGAGGTCAGTTGGTGGCATCCCCAGCTCTTGTTCAGCAGTCTCAGATACCCATTAAGTGAGTGGTACACAGTCCAGCATAGGGATGGGCACAAACCAGGAAAATGGAGGTTCGTGGTTCATGGGTTCACACGAACCCATGAAGCTGTCAGAACATTTCTACTACTCCCCGGGGCTGTCATTCTGCTCTGGGTGTTGTCATTCCAGTCCCAGAACTCTTTTGCTACTCCCAGGAGCCCATCAATCCCCTTCAGAGGCTGTCTTTCCAGCCCCAGAAGATTTCTGCTACTCCCAGGAGTCATCATTCCACTTGGGAGGCTGTTATTCCAGCCCCAGAGCAGTTTATCTGGGCCTAGAGACATTAATTGAAAATCCACTTTGCATTTTCATTGCAACTATTTTGTGCTGTAAGGTTCTCGTGAGCTGAAGGACAGCTGCCTCAGAGGCAGAGCCTAACACCAAGCACAACCCCAGCCAGGGAGAGGTGTTCAGAAATAAGTATTTGGGAGGGGGGCATGTTCTGGCAAGGCAACCAGCAGCTAAGTCCCTCTGCCCAGCGTGAGGAATGAGACAGGTCACTCAGAGCCCTGAGTCCACTCCAATCCCAGCCAGACAGCTAGTAGTCATTAAGCCCAGTGGGGAGGGGGCCTCAGTCAAGGAACCAATGAAGCTAAGCCCCTCTGCTTAGTGTGAACAGGACAGGTATTTCAGAGCCCTGAGTAAGCACCAAACACCCCCAGGAGGAATGACTTCCAGTTCCCTTCCCTCTCTGTCTCTAACTAACGCACAGCGTGCCTATTGCTGACAGAAAACAATGGCTGCATGTGAGCTGGGGGTATATATCATTCTACTCCCAAAGAGCAGAATGGGAGCTCTCTTATTGGTGGCGAACTCTGCCTGTTGAGCTTTGGAGGGCCGCTATTGGTGTTTCCAGGGCTGCAGAAGTCCACCCCCCCATTTCTTTGACATCTGTGGCATAAGGCCTGCACTTCAAGGAGGCTAGCAGCTTAGCTGTTCTTCTGGAGATAGTTGTTTCAAGGTGGGAACCATCTGTCAACCACAAACCCCACCAGGCAATGGCCTTGTCCTCTTTCCTGAAGCATGGGTGCCACATTGGGAAACAGTGCTTAGAAGTGCCACGTGTTACACCATGAGATGCCCAAACCTACAAAACCCACATAGAGGATCATGGGAGGGTCGTGAGGCAAGATTGCTTGGACCTCAGCTTGCAAACCACAATCCAGGCGATTTTAGGCATGAATTTAGGATTGCAGGCCAACCAGCAAATAATTTCTCAGTAGATTAATCCCAGGAAACAGACTGGATGGCAGATTCATCACAGTGGGTTTATAACATTGTATTGTCTCCTTTCCAACATTAAGATAATAAGCACATACCTCTGCCTGCATGGCAGAACACCTGGACAGTTACCAGCCTTGAAATATATAATAATTTTGTTTTGATTTTGTTCTGAGTATTTATGCCTAACACAGCACACATAATTTGAAAGTTTAAATCATCTGTACTAGTTGTCAACATAAGGGAAATAAGTATACTGTTTCACTTGGTTCAACATGGCGATCATCAGTGTTTTGACCACAATATGACAGTATTTCACTTAGATCACCCATCATGGAAACAGACTATCCTGCCAAGTTGTTGTGAAATAGAGAATTGTCAATAGGCTTTATTACAGCAAAATGATGGTCCTGTGGTACCTAAAGGCTAACTAATTTGTTCCACATGCTCTCATAGGAGCAGTCTTATGTTTTATAGAGTCCCACATCGTGCTCTGGCAATTATACAAAACAAGAAACCGTTCTTCTAGGATTGCCTCTTGTGATACATACATTACTCTTCAAACAACAAGGAGGGGGAAATGTTCTCTGATTCCCCCCACACACCTTTTTTTCTCCAGTAACCGACTCTGCTGCAGTGAACCACATTAATAACGACAGCTCATTAAAGATTTTTTTTCCCCTGGCACAGAAGAACTGAGGTTTCATATATGGAGTAAGTCATTTTACTGCCATTCCCTCTTATCTGCAGAAAATAACGTTCAGACTAGCATCTTTTTCAGTATTGGCATTAAATGCCAAGATGAGCAGAATTTATATCCCTGCAGAAAAATGAGCAATTTCTGTTAGATTATTGTAGATTTCATAATGAAAACTTATTTCTTTAGTGAAGCAAGAGGAGCTTGACATTCAACATCACAACTGTTCGTTTCATTTAAATGTTGGATGACTGTAATTATTAATGTATGTCTGAAAATGTCAAGTACATAATTCAGTAAATGCCTCAGTAGACTGTAAAAACATGCCTTGGTAGATCACAAAGACTGACCCTCTCTTGGCTCATACGTCTTTCGATTTTAAAGAGTTGCAACGTGATGCTGATGCCCAATTCTAGGTGCTATAGATAACCTTGCAATAACCGTATTTTGTTCTTGTTGCCAAAAGGTGATTAAGTATTTGGTTGATCTGCCTTCTTCCAAACACACTGGGTGAAATCCAGTTCTAATAACATCAGTAAGATCATTTGGACCACAACTATTAATCGCTCAGATTTATTATTGTATCTGGGTTTTCTCAGAAAAAACAGGAAAAAAATCCCAGATATATTCAGGAATTTCAGGTAGATCTGAAAACAGCAGAGAGGCAGGAACAGATTGTTCCCACCTTTAAACTTCAAAGGGACCGCAGAAGTCAACCTGAGGATCAGCCAAGTTGCAGGAGAGGGCAGTCATATATTGCACAGGTGTAAAAGCCACAAAAGAGAAGGAAATGAAAGAAATTCCACTCCCACAGCTACTACATGACTGCAAAGCTGTGTTCAGCATGCTGTTGAAGTCAGACAGCTGTGAGATAGGTGTGGTTCATGAAGAACTGCAGCTGTCAAAGAGTATGTTTCTCTGCTAAATAGGTTCGTCACAACATTCTCAGTATCCCCACTTAGTTATCTGTTTATTCTACATTAAAAACCCCAAACTCTGAGGCCTGTCTTCACAGAGAAAATGTTCCCGCTCCCTGATAATTTTAGAAGCTCTGCTGGGAGATGAGAGAACACTCGAAGTTATTGCAAATGTGGATGTGCCCAAAGATTCATATAATGGCAGCATGATACCTGCTTAATCTCATTTTCAGTCCCCTTGCTAGAAATACCAACTGAAGTAGGGTTGTCAGATCTGGGTTGGGAAATACCTGGAGATTTCGGGGGTGGAACCTGAGTAGGGTGGGGTTTGGGGAAGGGAGGGATCTCAGCAGGGTAGAATGCTCTCAAGTCTGTGGCAGGAACGGTCCTGCTCTGGCCTGCAGGTCTTGTTCCACCCTACCTGTCTGGGTTTTCCCAGCATCTGGAGGGACTTTTCTCTCTCTCTCTCTCTGTTCAACCTCCACTACCACCTGACCTTTGTAGGGATTGCTCACTGAGAGGGTCAGGACTCCCAGCTTCCCTTCCAAGTTCCTGGTTATCACAGGGATAGCTTACTGCTTGGTGCACCACTGGGGGAGTAGCCACTTGCCAACTGACTGCCATCCCCTTCCTCCTGGAGCTCCTTTTAAAATAGTCTCTCCAAGATGGTGGATGTCTTCCACCGCCCACCCCTGATCAATAGTTACAAAGTATTTATTTAAAAGAAAATGTTCACAAGCATACTTTTAGTATAGCACCAGACTGAGCAAGGGGTTCAAAAGAAACAGATAAAACACAATTCCTCTGTCCCTCCCTCTATACATGCCCTATCAGATGTTTAATATAAGGTAGGTTCCTTAGCTTAGAAAGTTACAGATCTTTACAGGCATTGCCATTACCTTCAAGCCTCCTTCAGATGTGCAGGCCAGCACATGGCAATGGCTGCCTTCTCCAGACCTCAGTTAAGAGCTCTGTTTGTCTCAATGTAATCAGCACCCAAGAGCCCATACTCCTGTTCCCAGAAGTTTTATAATCTCTCCCCAACCACTGACCCAGTCAGGCCAGGTCAGAGAAACCTTTCCTGAGATCTCCAGGAGTTTCTTCCTGAAGTCTTTCTAGTCTTAATTCCTCCAAATCTTTGTTCCCTGCTTGGGGGAGGGAGGATGGACCATCCCATTGTCTCTCGCTAGACCTATTAGCATTTCTAAAAAGGTAGCTGAGGTGAGGTTGGAAAGCAGTTGAACTGACTTTCCCCCTCCTGCCTGTTCTCTGCCCAGAGAGAATTAAAAACAAAACAAAACCTCAGAGTGAAGGTTTTGTTCAGTTCAAACCTCCAAAGAAAATTTGCACATTTTCACAGAGTCCACCCTTCAAAGCAGCCATTTTCACCAGGCAAACTGATCTTTGTCATCTGGAGATTAAGTCTAACAGTGGGAGGTCTCCAGGTGCCACCTGGAGGTTGGCAGCCCTATAAAGGCAAACTATCCCTGAAAGAGCGTCTACTAGAGTTACCAACAGTTGGCTTGAGAAATTTCTGGAGAGTTGGGGGTAGACGCTGAGCAAGGTGGAGTCTGGTGAAGG